TATAATATTAAAGTAGTGCTCTAAGTATAACGTATACTTAGTAAAGTAATAAAAGCTCTTACTCTTTTGTAGTAGGCTACTCTCTAACTATTCTAAAGCTCTAAAATCTCTTTTAGTAGCGTAGTATAGTAATAATAGTAGTAAGAAAAGTAGTAATTATAGCTACTATCTTAGAACTAACTACTTAAATAGGTATAAGTAGAAGTATAATTATAGTAGTATAGATAAAAATAATAAATATAAGATAGAGAAAATTCTTAATACTTATATTTATTATAGAAAGCTATAGTACTATATTAAATAGCTTAAATATAAGAATAATATAGAGTAGTATAATATATCTAACTTTAGAAATAGTCTATATAAGCTCTATAAATTTTATATAGCTAACTCTATCTATCTAGAATCTATAAAAGAGCTAAAGACGTAGATATAGTATTAAGAAAAGAATTAAGATAGAATAAGAATTCTATCTAAGAGATTATATATAGAGAGTAGAATATAGTAAGAACTTTTATTTTAGACTTAGAGTTATTTATCTTTCTTAAAGTATAGCTAGCTAAGAATACTTATCTTATATAAGTAGCTAGAAGTTATATTATTATTATAGAAATTAGTTAGTTAGCTTAGAACTTATTAACTAGTATACGCTTAGAGCTTATTATATTTATACTATCTTTACGCTAAGTCTAGCTAGCTATACTTATATCTAGTATCTACGTATACTAAATATTACTAGCTAGATAAGGTGCTAGATATCTAGAAAGAGAGAGAAGAGTAGATAAATAAGATATTATATTAGATACTAATATACTACGTAAATTTTAGAGCTAAGCTAAGATTTCTACGTATATTATATTAATTAGTAATTAACCTATACTAATACGCTAATAGAAATTATAGTACGTAGTAGTAATAGTAAGACTAGAATTTACTTAGCTTAGCCTAGATTAGTAATAATAGTTTAGTCTTATTAAAATATAATTATTAAGATTTACTATATTATATATTAAATATATATAAGCGTAATTACTAAGTATAAATATAAACGTTATAGCTAGTACTAGTAGAGCTAGCGTTATAGTATAGTAGTAAGATTTAGAGAAAGTAATAGAAGAGGCTAGATAGTATAATAAGATAGTATTTAGTATAGTATATAAATCTTAGCCTACTCTTAAAGATTATCTATTATATTAAAAGAATTAAAACTTTACTATGCTAAAGCCTATATAATCTATTTATACTTAAATATATTTACTTATTATATTTACTTTACTATTTCTAGAGCTTTAAATATACTTTCTATAAAGAGAAGTAAAAGAACCTTATATAGTATATAGCTAGATACCTAAGCGTTAATATTTCTATTACTATAATAGCTATATTAAGCTTATCTATAGCGTTTATAACTATAATATCTAGTTACTAGACTTAAAATATATTCTTAAGAAGTAATTAAATAAGTCTTCTAGCTTTAAAGTTTAGAATATCTATTACTTAGAAGAAAAGACTACTATTCTAGTTCTAAAAGTTACTCTAGACTATTATAAGAATAACTACTATTTTATACTTATAGAATATATTTCTAGTAATACTTTTAATATTATATAGAAATACTTATTACTAGCTAAAAAAAAGAATATTATAAAATAAACTATAGACTATCTTTTATAACTTTAATAGCTTTAATTTTTCTATATATAGAGTTTTAGTAAATAACTACTATATTTAGTATTTTTATTTCTAAATAGATATAGTATATCTTATAGTTCTCTCTCTTTAGATAATAAGCTTTAGATAAAAATAGTAACTAGATTAGAAGATCTATCTTAGTAAGCTCTTTTATAGTTATAAGAGTATATACCTTCTATAGAACCTTATACCTTTACTTATAAGAATTTAGCTATTAAGAATATTATTATTAAGAATAAAGATCTTGTAGATATTCTAGACTAGAAAAGTAGTAGTTATTTTTCTATATAGTAGAAATTTACTTATATAAGAATTAGCTTAGAAGAAGTTAACTAGAAATAGAAGGTATTACTAAGAAAGTATATACATTTATATTAAGTAGTAAGAGACTTCTAGGTAGACCTATATAGTCTTCGCACCTATTCTAATCTAAATAAGCGAGAGAAAGTAGTACTTACTAGACTATAGCGTAACTAAATTATAAAATAAGAAGAGAATAATAAATAATAAGAGAGTTTCTATTTATCTATCTCTACTTAACTTCTTTCTAGATTTCTTTTATAAATCTCTATTCTAATTATAACTTATAGAGCTTAGCCTAATAATCTAGAAATATAAGTATCTATAAAGCTATATAAGAGGTACTATACCTATATAATTATTACGTTAGAATAGTAATAGGCAGCTAGGTATTGTAATATTCGTAATTTATAGCTTCTATAATATTACCTTTCTTATAAGCTAGGTAGTCTATTTCTAGTAATAACGTGTAGACTAGAGCGTATAGACTTTATATTATACTCTTTAGGCTACTAAATATTAGGTCTTTTACATTTGCGAAAGTAAGCTGCTATTCGGTAGACTAGGTACTTAGTTTTCTAAGTAAACGTGCAAATTATAAAGGCTAGGTCTACAGTCTCTACTACTATAAGCGCCTCTAGAACACCTAGCTAGGTAAGTTAGCTATAGGTAGCGCTGTCTCTACGAGCTATAAGGATAAGAGGTGCTAGTAGGGTAGGTTAGGTTAAATTTAGCTATCTAAAGGTAAGGAGTAGAAGAATGCTCTAAGAGCTCTCTATATACATAGGGTGCCTATACCAAGGCGCTAGGTAGAGTTATGTGACTTAGGCGGAGCTAAGTTAGGCTAAAGCACTAAGTTAGAGCCGAGTTAGACTGTTACATTACCCCCCCTTACAGGGAGGGCTTGTCCCTAAGCCCTAAGGCTCTCTAGTCTCCTACCTATATAGGCTTTAAATCCTCTACCGTCTTCTATAGTATCTTCTCCCTCTTATATGTCTTAATCTAAGCATTTAACCGTAATAGGAGCTCTAGCTTATTCGGGTATGCTTTTTCGTTTAAGAGGGGGGGGGTATTAGCTGCTAGCAGGGCAGCTAGTTGTCGGCTCTACTAGCGGAGCAGAGAATTGTCGATTTTCGAAGCAGGGGGGGGGTATTAGCTCTACTAGCGGAGCAGAGAGGTATTAGCTGCTAGCAGAGCAGCTAGTTGTCGGCTCTGCTGGCGGAGCAGAGAATTGTCGATTTTCGAAGTAGAGGGGGGGTATTAGCTGCTAGCAGGGCAGCTAGTTGTCGGCTCTGCTAGCGGAGCAGAGAATTGTTAGTTTTTAAAATAGGGGGGGGGTATTAGCTGCTAGCGGGGCAGCAGGTTGTCGGCTCTGCTAGCGGCGTAGAGAGATTATTGGCTCTGCTAGCAGAGCAGAGGATTATCGATTTTTCGTAATTTGTAAAAAAGGGGGGGGGAGTTTCCGCACGTAGAAGTTCTGTAGAAGTCCTCCCGTACACAGAGCTCTTAATAGCTCTCTTTAGCTTAGTGCTAGTATCTTTCTACCGCTAACTAGATCTGCTAGTAGTCTTATACAGCGCTAGGGGTAAGCGATTAATCGGTACGTTAATAGATTCTTAGGGTAAGTAACTAGGCTCTCGTAGCTCTAATCCTTAGTGTTAGCTGTTAGTAAACGCTCCTTAATAAGGCTACTTAGTTTAGCTAGATATTATGCCGCCGTCTCTAGCCAAAGGGGTATTAACCTTTAAATAATGTAAGGGCTAGGTCTGCGGTCTCTACTACTGTAAGCGCCCCTAAAACACCTAGCTAGGTAAGTTAGCTGCAGGCAGCGCTGTCTCCACGAGCTGTAAGGATAAGGGGTGCTAGCAGGGTAGGTTAGGTTAAATTTAGCTATCCAAAGGTGAGGAGCAGAAGGATGCTCCGAGAGCTCTCTATATACACAGGGTACCTATGCCAAGGCGCTAGGCAGGGTCATGTGACTTGGGCGGAGCTGAGTTAGGCCGAAGCACCGAGTTAGAGCCGAGTCGGACCGTCACACAAATTCGGATTTGCTAGCGAATCTGTGTTGCGATTTCGTTACTTTCTTTGCAGCATAGTATGCACGCCAGGCTAGTTCACTCTCGGCTAAAATAATTCCTGGTGTAGAGTTCGGGTCGCTCTGCTTTGCTGTCTGTAAAGCCTCGTCCACCCCCATACGGACCACGTGAGAGGGTCTGAAAATGCTTTACCATTAATACGGTGAGATGCCGTCGTTCGTGTTGTAGATCCTCCATTTGGTGAAAAGAGCGATGTTTCGAAGATGAGACTGGAGAGGAAATTGGAAGAAGCTTGAAGATGATGGGTTGATTACGCCTCATTGAAATGACCTTAGCACTAGCCGAACACGGCCATTGCCCAGCACAAGGGTCAGATAAGCACCCCAGCCAGCTGGTCCCGGCTCCAATTTTCTCTTGGCCTCCGACTAGCGCGGTTACGGAAAATAGGTTAATGCGGCCAGAACGCCGGCATTTGCCCTGCTGCCGATGGCCCGAAACTTCCATCTCAACCTTCCCTTTCAACCTTCCCTCTCAACCTTCCCTCCCAACCTTCCCTCTCAACCTTCTCTCTCAACCTTCCCAACCTTCGAACGCAATTTTGGGGCTAGGGATTCTGTGCCGTAATAGGAGTACGGCTGCAGGCCGGCGCGAGGGCCGCAGAGGGCAGTGACAGATCGTCTTCGCAGAAAGTGAGCTCTGCCTGCAAGAGACTGACATTGCTTCTACAGCTATGCTTGGTCTAAGCATCCCCGCAATGAGGGGAATGCCGCTGTTGCTTCTGCAGCCATGCTCGACAGGACCAGGGAACGCAGATTGAGGGAGAAGGATGGCGCATGGTCGAGGTGCGTAGGAAGATAGGTACAAAGGCTCGCGATTAATGTTCAGTTCATCCTCTCTCTTTCGAATCACCATTGACCGTCTTTCCTCATCTCCCTAGGGATATCTTTTGACATCTTCGTCGGACTCACCCTTTCCTATCTCACTTCCCACCAGCGGTTAAAGGTCAAGCCACTTCCTTAGCAAACACCGTTTGCTACACCAAGGCAAGCCAAACGTTTCACCCGCCCTTGTGAGGACAAGCATTCGCACTCTCCAAGGCTCACGCTAATTTTTATCAAGAACCAGCTCACCCATCATGTCTAACCCCAACAACCAACGGAACTCTACGTCCACCTCCAATCCAACTGTTTCTCCTACCGTGAATGTTAATGGTGGAACCCAGAACAACTCCTCTAACAACCCGCCACAACGTTCTCCCGAGCCTTCAACTCCCGCGAATACTCTTTTGCAACGAATGACGGATGGCGATAGGAGGGGGGTGGGTTTGGAGGCGCGTCCTACAGACAAATAGGAGCTTCGCTGGACAATTATAAGGACGCTTGAGCATGGCGACAGGAGACTTTATCACGTTCGTAGGCAATAAAGGATCGATTACCCTATAATGGGATATACCGTGCCAGATGAGGTTTTTGTGCCAAGGGTCCTATGAGCCAAGCGGGGAAAATTGTTTTTCCGTGCTCTACTGTATTTCCCCACTCAACGCACAGACCCCACTCAACGCACAGTTAACACCAAAACGCGTATATTTTTAACACCTTATAACTCTACTAATATGGACCCGATTGACGCAGCTGTTGAAGCTTTAAAATCCCTAGAGCTAGGAGGACCTCCTAATATATCCCAGGTTGCTTAGGAGTACGGCGTTAAGCGGTCGCGGCTCTCGAAGCGTTATCGCGGGGTTTAGGGCACTAATACATCACGGGCTGAGAAAAAGCGACTCCTTAACACTATACAGGAAAAACAGCTTCTGCAGTATATTAATAAGCTGTGTGTACGAGGCCTACCCCCTATAAGAGAGATAATACGAAATTTCGCAGCAGAAATAGCCTATCAAGAGCCTGGAAAACACTAGGTTAATCGCTATATTGCGCGGCATTAAATTAACCTTATATCGCGATAGACATCTAGCATTAATAACTAGCGCTACAAAGCTAATTTAGCCTTTAAATACGCTCTCTATTTTAAGCTTTTAGACGATAAGATTAAGCAGTACGATATCGCGCCGTCAAATACATACAATATAGATAAGAAGGGCTTCTTAATCGGGGTAGTGTTAAAAATGAAGCGCGTATTCTCCTAACAGCGATATAATCAAGAAGGCGTTAAGCAGGTACTCTAGAACGGTAACAGGGAGTAAATAACGACGATAGCTTGTATATGCGCCAACGGCAGCTCTCTTAATCCTGCCCTAATATATTAGGCGGCTTCTAGCAATATCCAGGATACATAGTTGCAGGATTTTAATCCTCAAGAGCACCAGGCCTTCTTCGCCTTATCACCATCTAGATGGACAAACAACGAACTCAGGATTGCCTAGCTTAAGAGATGCTTTCAAGAGGAGACGAAGAAGAAGGCAAAGCGCGATTATTAGCTCCTAATTCTTAATAGGCATGGCTCACATATTACTATAAAGTTTATTAAGTTCTGCGATTAAAATCGAATCCTCCTAGCTATCTACCCGCCGCATTCAACCTATACGCTACAGCCTCTAGATGTCTACCTTTTTAAGCCTCTTTTAGCTGTATATACGAAAGAGCTTAGCGAATATATATACAACAACTAGGGACTTACATCTATTACTAAGCGCGACTTCTTCTACTTCTTCTATAGGGTATATAGGATCGCGTTCGCCGAAGAAACAATTATTAACGCCTTTAAAGTTACTAGCATCTCTCTACTAGATAGCAACGCTATATTAAAGAAATTTAAGAATCTAGAGCCTAAGAGGCTATTAAGTAGCGATAGTACGTTGTTAGTACTCTCTACAAGCGATTAGCGTAAAATTAAACGACTCCTGCGAGAGGTAGTTAAGAATATCTACAATAAACGCGCCTCGCAGCTTTCTTACACGATACACGCGATAGCGACTTAAAAACAGCTTCTCTAGCATAAAAATAATTGCCTTAGAGATGCCCTTATTAATAAGAAGAAGCGCCGTAAGCGTGGCAAGGTATTACTACTTGAACCCTCTAAGGATTACGCTGGCGGCGCCGTCTTCTAGTCGCTATCTAAAGTTAAAGCTGCCCGCAATCGCTAAGCCTAAAAAGACGCTAAAGCAGAAGAACTACAACACCAAAAGGATTGCGATAAGCTAGCTAAGGAGCAGAAAAAGCAGGAGAAACAGGCTATGCTTAAGCAAAGGGCGCAGAAAAGGATAGCTGCACAGGAGATTAAGTTGCAAGAAAAACAGTAGAAGGCCGCAGAGCGCGAAGAAGCCCTACTTGCGCGCGCAGCTAAAAAGCAACTCAGGACTAATATACAATTGGCTAGAAAGGGTAAGGCGCGTAACCTCAAGGCTCCTGCACCTCCTGCTCGTGTTATTGAGGAGCCAGAGGTTGATGTTAAGGATCTATCGGTCATTGAAGGGGTGGTGGAGGCATCCGGCCCATCATCGCGCACTCGCAAAGTACGCCTCCCACAGAGGTATCGCACGTAATTTGTCGTTGCCAATTAATCAAACAAGCCTTCAAGAATGCTTCTCTAAAAAATCTCGTGATAATTAGATCTATATAGGGCTGTACAGCTTCAAAAGTAGTGGTGATGGCCATCCTCAAACTGTGCGTTGAGTGGGGTCTGTGCGTTGAGTGGGGAAATACGGTAGTGACGCGAGATTGCCCCGCTTATCCCAACAGCCAGTAACTGTTCAACACAAGTCATCCCCTCTTTTAGATTAGTTTTCTACAGCACTACCAATATATCCTCCGTGTCTGCCAGTCGTCCACCATATCACACATAAAAGGCAACACTACCACTTCGACATGCCCGTTTATCAGATCTTGCCTACCACCCCACGTCTCGATGAGCGGATCTATGAGGTAGCAGCATCATTACATGGCGAACCTGATGGAGAAGCCGTGGCGTTAGCGAAGGGCGGGAAAGCTTTTCGATATAGTAGGAGCGAAGAGTCTACGGCTTTAGGTCTAGAATATTTCACGAATATAGTATGTACAAGAGCCCTCAGCTTGGAAATGAATAGCTGATAGAAATTATAGTGGCTCGACATTCAACAAGCACAAAAAGAAGTGAAGCTGGAGATACCAACGCACAAGCCTACGGTCCTTCGCCTTGAAAACAGTTGGCTGTCTACCTCGCCAAATGAAGTCGGCATTATTATACCCATTCGGAATCGCGATGACACGTTCGAAGAAGACAGGATTGATATCGAGAGTGCAGGAGGCGAGCGCTATGATCTCAAGTTGGCACCACGCATAATGGTCGTACTCTCCGAAGATGTTCGCTTCCGGGTATCAGGTCGTGTTCCATTTAACTTGATCCTCCACCCTACGTCGCCAGCAAGGAAGGTCGAGCTGGCAACAGTAGAAGGGACTTAAAGGTCTTATATACCCGGATTGAGACCGAAAGCAATCAATGCATCGTCATCTAAATAGTGCAGGACGCTGCTCGCATACGTGAAATTGGCCACCTGACACCCGCCTTGGCTTGTCCCGAACTCGTGTTGTTCAGACGGTGTAGCGCTCGGTAGGAGCAGCTCGGATCCGACCCCATCATTGACAGCCTTTTCCGAGGATGACGGTATTCCTGCATCCGCCATTGGGGCCGACGTATCCGCGCCGACTACCTCTACACTCCTCGTCAAGCTCATCGATGGTGGAGACTGATGGCCGATAGGATTAGAGGGTAACGGAGTTAAGAATGCTTGCTGCAATGGGGATTCAGCAGCTGGAGCTCCCATGTCGGACGCGCGCTCGTTTGTCGCTAGGAGCATGCTTATCGCTAGCCTCTGTCTCTTTGGAGGTCGTTCGTAACTCTCAGCCTGTCCGATGATCCTGTCATGCATGGGCCCCGTCTCGTCCAGGCTCTGCGGGAGGTCCGTCATCAACCCTTCATGCTCCCGCTCGTGTCCTTCGGACTGAGGATAGGGACGCTCTCCCGCTCCCTCCTCCAGAACTGATGTATCAGCGCTGACAGCCTCCGTAACATCACCGCCAGCATTTGATTGATTCGTTCGCGCATTACCGGGCGTGATCAGTCGTTTGTTGGTTGATAGAATTGATGTACCTGCTAGAAAATCAGTGGAATTCCATCCGGAAGTCAGTGAGTTTACCAGTGACTAAACGAGGCCGGCACTAGAGGTCGTAGCATATCAGGACTTCGTTTGTCCAGGAATGCCAATTGGCGATAAGCGTTATCAACTCGGGTTGTTCGAAAGCCTCCATAATGTCTTGGAGGGTCATACTCTTAACGAGTTGACGTGCAAACGCCAAAATGAGCGATGCAGATGCATTAACCGCCTCAACTGCAAGAACTCTGAGCCCACTAGTCACAGCCTCAAGCACTGCCTGCTCTCGGCCTCGCCCAAAATATGTTCTTGCAAAAGCCCGAATTGAGCCATGGCTGGTTATCGGCAAATTGAAAGATTTAGTCTTAATCATCGAGTCAAGTCGGGTTGGATTCCGACTATGGTAGTTCTTCGCAAGGCTCCGTTCCGCAAGGAATCGCCGAAACTCAATTTGGGGCGTCTTGGAAGCTCTGCCGCCGGAAACAAATATGTCCACAAGCCGGGAGTCTTCCACTTCTGCCGGGGATTGTCCAATGGCATCTACGGGGCTTTGTGAAAAGAATGTCTTCAACTCCTCGGACCTCTTGGACAAAGTTTCGACTAGCTCGTCGGGACCTGGACGGTTCTTCTCCTCTCGAACCAAGCGTTGAAGCTTTTGGAGCAATTGACCGACATTACCGTCAAGTAAGGGGCCATCTTTGAAGTCCTCGTCGGGAGCCGCACACATCTCCTCCAAAGTAGCGGAGAGTTTTGCCATGTCAAAAATTCTCGATCCCGCTGAAAAAAGGAGAACTTGATCTATCCGGGTTGTTTCGCTTGTCCCAATTAGGTAAAGCACAGTCTGCAACCGCCCAGTTTCGAGAACCATTTCCAAATACGCCTTATCCTAGAATCAGGCCCTGGCACCCACTCTAACAAGGGCATAGCGAAAGCCTCGTACATCCTCTGCTCCCCGCTTAACCCGCGGAAGCACAGCCGATCCCACACTACAAGCATCAGCTCTGGCTCAATAGTCTAGTCAGTACGAAGCTGATTCCCCACCCATCGGCCGGAAGTGAAGCCGTCTCAAAAGCAAAGTGCCAAATCAACCTCCCTGAGCGGACGATCCCCAAGATATATCATGCACGTCCTCACGAGGCTGAGACGTCCCTCAGTCCTTCACCGGTTGCCTTCCTGCACGTCTTTGTCACCTGCATTCACATTTCTCCGATGGGTCTACAAGCATGGGGCCAACCGGCGAGCTCGTCCGACGTTGCGCCAAAATCGCAGATTAAAAGCGAGTGCGGAAAGGGCGAAAAAAGTCACGACGAGGTATGCTTTCCTTGTGCATCCGCAGCCAATCTAACTCAGGGCGTTATACTGAAAACTATAGAGTTTACCATAGTGGAGGAAGAGTTTACCATGGAGGATCGTCAGGCTGATGGTCTTTGGGTGCACTGCATCATTGTATCCTCCAATAGAGGTTTTGAAGAAAATTCGCGACTGCCGCCCTCCGGCACTTAAGCGGTCGTCGGCCATGCCACCCTTCACCTCGCCGACCGCCTCCAAGCCCCCGCTCCTCCATCGAACAAGAACGATCTAGAAGATCGTCGAGAAGCCTAATCTATCCTTCATTTTGGCAGCACTATCGCGAAGCGGATATCTGCGGATTCTCCTGTATCATTATTCGTTTGTTTGTCGAAGCTGCGTCAGTCCTTTTCTAGCTCAGGCATTAGAGTTGAATACCTGAATAATTTTATCCTCCCAGCATCGTGTGCACCAGAACGATGCAGTTTTCGCAGGCGTACTCGTGTTGACCGGGACGTCTGTGTATGATTGCAAATACTTTCCCCTGCAATCACAGTATTTCCCGATGACGCCACGCGCGCCTCTCCGCGAATGATCTTCCACTCCATTTGGACCATTCCCGCGAGTTCCCCGAACTAGTGGCATCCGTCCCACTTCTTCACCCGCACGATTCCAGCTCCGCTTCACAGGAAGACCAATGGAATTTCTTACCATCGGCCTGCCTTTTGGGACTCTAGGAGCTGACGCCGCACTCTGAAAGGCAGTAAGTGAAGCCGTCCTTGCCACAATTTTCTAACGATGCGCAGTTCTCAATGATATATCATACCCGCACCCTGCCGTGTCCTTCGTCCTTCGACCGGTTACTTCCCCGCATATATATGCTTGCAACTCCCAACTCCACCTTGATACTCGCCCTACACTTCAAGTCCATTTACCTTGAAAATCTGAAAGCTTCGAACCCACGTACCAGCCGCCTAACGCCGTTCTGTCATCGCCGCCCCACACCGACCGCAGCGTCATCGTCGAATTCTGCACCACATCCGCAAGCCTTCAGCCAGAGCCAGGGCTTCGGAGCGCCCTTTGACCGGCCCCAGCCCACACTTAAGACGAACTTTCCGCTTATGCGTAGCATACATTGTCTGCTTCCCCGTCGCGTTTGAGCAGGAATGAGGCTGAGGGAGCCCAGGGAAGGGTGGCGTGAGGATGGCTGGGCCCGGAGCAATGTCAAAACCTTGGAGCAAAAGCTGCACGATGCAATTGGGAAAGTCAAAGACTTGGAGCGGGATATCCAAATTGGAAGAAGAAAAGTTGATAATTTGGGGTGGATGCTAGGGGATGAAGAGGAATGGGAGAGGACCGCTGTCTCAGCGACAAGCAAGGCTGTCCAGCTAGAGTTTGGTGAGGCACCATCATTCACTAAGGCTTGATGATTCTAACTACCTAGGTACCGTCATGAGGAAAGCAAGAAGAAAGACACCTTGGAGCACCGTTCCGCGGTCGCTGCATTCGCCTTCGCCATCACCATCGCCACCGCAATCATCATTGTCGTCAACGACAGCCTCTAAAGAACTTTCTCAGGGCAAAGTCCTAGAGGATCCAGGCGCTCCAAAGCCCACACGCGTTACTGAACGCGCCAATCGTATCAAGGGTCTGTGTAACAAAAATGCCAATCCCATTCAGGTCCTACATGACTCTCCTACCCTCGAGCTCACGCCCGCCCTCGAGCTTACGCCTACCCAGCTTGCACAATTCAAGGAAACCGCCAATTCTACTCAAGGTCTACCTGCGCCGCCGACACTCAAGCTTTCGTCTAGCCAGCTTGCACAACCTCGCGAAAACAACAATCTTACGCAAAGTCCATCTACCTCTTCTCCTCAGGAAAGCGCTAATCCTCCCATAGCGCGACTTCAGGCGGATCTAGCTGAAGTCGCGCTATGTAGATATTGTGGGGAGGTCCTCAAGGGGTGCCATGCTATCTCCAATCTTGCACGGCACCAGAAAACGGAAGCATGTCTTAGAGCGCGCGACAAATCATCTAAAAGGCATGTCTGCGATAGTTGTGGAAACACCTTTGCGAGGTCAGATCATTTAGGGAACCACAAGAAAAAGGGCAGGTGCAAGGAAGGCCAACTCTGCTTCATCCATCATCACACCATGTCCGCGTCCAGGTATTCGTAGTGAAAAGTCCATGTTTTCTTGTCCAAGCGACAGTCATCGCAGGGATTCCGTGTATCTACAGTCCCATACAGTCCGGAAGCTTTGAGTATGTTGTCGAACCCGTCCGTAAAAGAGAATGTAGTACTACAGCCTCGTTGTCCCGCCATTAAATCCCCTCGGCATACGTGACAACGAGAACACTGGCGAAACAGAGCGTGTAAATCGCCATTGGTCAAAGGTTAAAGACTCGGAGAATTAAATGTTTGAGGAGCGGAGTAGGTTCATCTCCAATGAGCTTCGAGAGAAGCAGATTTCGGCCCAGACATTAAGTAACAAGCCCACGGATTGGCTGCGCTTCAAACAAGCAACGCATAACTCAAGCCATCCAGCTCGCCGCTTAACCCACGGAAGCACACCCGATCCCCTGCTACGAGTTAGCTTAGCAGTCTGGTCAATATGGTGGGAGCGCTAATACCCATCTGTCGCAGGAAGTGAAGCCGTCTCAAAAGTAAAGTGCCACGGAAGCAGAGCCAGCATCAGCTTTAGCTCTGTCGGACGATCCCCATGATATATCATGCCGTCCTCCCTCACAAGGCTGAGACGTCCCTCAGTCCCTCACCGGTCGCCTTCCTGCAGCCTCTTTCCATCCGTGTCCTTGGCTTCCTCATTGGTCCTTGCGATGTACCAAGAAGACGTCATCCCGCAGTCAGTATGTAGTTCTGATTAATACATTTCCTTAAATCTAACAGGTTGTAGGTCAGAGTCCACTATATCCAATCTGTCAAGCGGAAAGGCGTAGAAGTGTGGGTCCGTTGCTGCCTTAAAGGGAGGCATTCTCCGGGGTACGACTATGCAGACCTCCCCTGGAAAAAGTTCCTGGAGATTGCCGGAGCCATCCACGCTGCGAATTGCATCCATGCGGACCTCTACGAGCATGTACGGACATTAATGCGGGAGATGCGGGAGATCGAGCCTGAGGAGCAAGAAGAGATCATTGTTGAGAAGGAACAGTTTACCCCTAGCCGCGTCCTTCGTCGACCTCAACTCCGGGACATTTGCGATGTTTACAGCTGGGGCGGAGTATTCTGGGTTACGGTGAAGGAAGTCAAATTCTTCTACGAGACTCGCCCAGTACGAGCAGTAGAAGAATCTCTTGAGCGAAGGTATCCTTGGGTGGGGTTCGAGCGGAATTTCCAATGTACGAGCACTCGCGACGTAAAAGTCAAGGAAGTTGCAAGGAGAATTGAAGAGCTTAGTGGGCTCTCTGGTTTGTTGACCCGTTGGGCGTTTGCGTGCCTTGGGCACCGATGAGGTGCTCTAACGATGGCAAGATCCTAGACGGGGTGGAACTCTTGTTTCACGAAATTGTATCTCCCGCGCATCTCCAACATGTATTTCTTTCCTTTGTTGACCAGGGCGCCCCCTTTCTCATGTTCATTCCTTATATTTCCACGGGTTTCAGTACCAAATATCGGTCGATGTTCTCTTCCATATCTGCTAATACCTGTCCAATATTATCCTCCGAGCATCAAATCGACGCACCATCTTCGCAGGCGTACTCGCGTGGATCGAGGCGCCCTTGCAAATTGGCGCAGAGATGCATGCAGCCGGTCACAGGCTGCGCCTTATTGGCGTGGATCGATGCGTCAACTTGAGGGCATGGCGCCTGTGGCGCATTCCGAGCGCACAGTGTCTCTTCCCCATGCGGAGCACTCATGCATGTGACTTCAACCCCTAGCCCGTGCGAGAGCCACATGCAGGATGCGGGCGCAGACTCCAGCTAAGGCCCAGCTCCTTTCCGCGGAATCACAGCCAATCCATCATATCTCCTTCACGCTCACCTCTGTATTAGTTCACCAACTTATTCTGTTCATCTTTTACCAGTTGTCGCCACTACGAGAGTGGAGCAGCACTGTTCAGCCGGAACCCGCGCCGAAATCGCACGCTCCTGACCAGCCTGTTGAATGCAGACAGTAGTTCATTTTCGTCGGCCTGATCGTGGGACACGATTCTCACACGAGGTACGTTAAATAAGCCTTCAGGAAGCAAGCGATGGCTAATTGATTCCAAGCTTCTATCACTCGTGGTCGACATCCTGCTCCCCGAGCTCCCGGCGCGTCTCGTCTATACGTTACTGCTCCTTATCGTCATGGCGCCATACAAACTGGCTAGGGGTGCTCCTTCTCGCGAGGCAGAGGAACTGTCCACAAATTTCTCGGGCGACTTTCAGGACTACAGTGCCTGGACAAGAGGCATAGTCTTGCTTAGTATCCAATGCCTCCTACGAGCATTCAAGACACTCATTGAAGAAGACGATGAAGATGACTATTCTCACATGTGCCGGGAACATGACTGCACAATCTTGGTGCAGGAAGTAGAGTGTCCCCGGAGTTCCGCCAAGAAAACGTACGCCAAGGACGCGTGACTTTCAACAAACTGTAACTAGATTTGTTTGGGTATAGCGCGCGGGTTCCTCGAAGACCTACCAAGGTTAGAAAAAGACACGTCAGCTCATCGATCAACATCATCGATCAACATCTGCCATGGGCTCCCCTCTTAATATATCGGGATCTGCTTCTCAGCTCTTCCGAAACAAAAATTGCGCTGAATACAGGGCGCTTTCTATCATTGCAGAGTCGCTTGCACACCCTCAACGAACCATTCTCAGTGCCTTTGTGCAGCACGCCGTCGACCGAGAAATTGCATCGCAGTTTTTCCTTGACGAAATCTCTGGAGAGGATAAGGTCGCAGCATCAGAGTTTTTAGCTGACTGGATATGTCTTCTTAAGAAAGGTACATCGCTAACAACTTTACTTAAAAATCGCTAACTTTTGTCCATAGTACGCCCTGTTGTTTGCACGGATTTGAAGGAGTCACTAAGGCGAAACATATGGCAAAGAGATGGAGGACGATGCTGTATCTCCAAGGCCGAAAAGGAAAAGCAGTATGAAGGAAGCCTCGTGCTTGCCTACGTCTTGTCCCCTTCATTTTTCTGTGATAGTGACATGATCAACAACGTGAGTCTATCTGCCCTATGTCCCCCTACATCCCTAACCTCATCCCAGAAAAGGCTTTCCAGGATATTTGCGGCATTCATAGGGGAGTCGCAATTGCAAAATTTGCGATCACTCATAGGCCAAGACTCTTTTTCTCCTGATCGAAATCAGTCCGATCAGTTGGTCCTATTATCGACACAAATTTTCGAACATTTCAGAAACGGGAGGCTTTCTCTTAAGCGCAGTTTCTCCGAGGCTGTGGGCGACTCGGTAAGGTCCCATTCATTGGCCCTTATACCATTCTAATTAGTTAGGCTCGGTATCTTGTGCAATCGAGGAAATTTATTCCATCTATTCACGTCGGAAGGTACCAATTCATAACGCTGGAAAACAAAGCCGTTGGACTTGTTTCGCTTCCAAACGCGCAGCTTTTGGAAATCCATCACCGGTGTGCAGAGGCTTTAGCGTGGCTAGAAGTATTCGAATATATGAATCGGAACCTCAACACGCTACATAGGCCGGGTAGTGGGAAATTTGCGAATCCTGCCATGGGAACGCCGGCAAACAAAAGCTCCTGGAACCTATGGTACCTCCAAGCTATACCTGGAGCCTTTCGATATGTCTGGGTTCAGACACCGGCCTTCTTTCGAGCGTTTGCCTACAAGCGCTTAGCCCGGATTTCAAACTGGCTCTACGGTTACACCGGCTCGGACAGGATTTATCGACTTCCTTTCAATCTGTATTTGCGGGTGGCAAGTAGTGATTGGGCACCGAAACATCAAGCGGAAGCCCAATCGCTTCGTCTGATTGAAAAGTATACCCACGTCCCCGCGCCAAGAGCAGTCGATGCTGTTCAATACTCCGATTCTTCGTTTCTCCTAATGACTGGAATCCCCGGAGAAATAATTGGGCGAAGGATCGCTACCATGACCGATGAACAATTGCATTCCATCGCACAGGATCTCAAGAAATACATAGCTGAGCTGCGGCAAATTCCCAACAACACAGGCTCGGGTTTCCAGATATGCAATGCACTAGGGGGAGGCATCTTAGACTGGCGAATTGGCGAATCGCAACGCAGAGAGCTTAGGTTCCTAGATGAAACGCAGTTTAACGAGTACTTGATCGAAGACCTTCCACTGGACGAAGATGCACGGAAACTGGTGTCGAAGTCACATGGTGTGAAACATGATATCGTTTTCACGCATGGAGATCTCAATCTAAGGAATATCCTGGTTGATGGGAATGGAAAGATTTCTGGAATCGTTGATTGGGAGTGCGCGGGCTGGTACCCTGAGTATTGGGAATATACCAAGGCACATTTTGCAACGCGATATACTGTTCGGTGGACTGCGGATGTAATTGATCAGGATTTTCTTGGTTACCGCGACGAGTTGCAGGTGGAGGATATGCTCTCTATTATGCTGCCTCCGTGGTAGGCCTGCCGGAACATGAATGCATCCTTAATCCATACCTAGATCATGAATCGATCCTTTCTATAGCAACCTTGTGCTTTATAATCGTCATCACTTCACGCTCTACAACAGTTAGGGGGGGCAGCATGCACCCCGCCGCCTAACTCGGGATCGCGTTTGGCGCACCAGATGGCATTCATCGGGAAGAACTGTCGTCGATGCAGCTTTATCCTAGTCTTCTGACAAGGATATGCGCCAGGGACTGATGATCGCGAAGCACACTCCACCCCCGACTCCGCCGTCCTGAAACCTTGCCCCACTTCCTCCGGGGGTCCATTCCCGCAGGCACCACAGCCAAAGAAATGTCGACTGCCCTAATCTGCGCATACGAATATGAATCGCCACTCGCCACTGTGGAAAGACAGCAAGGAACAATTGCCCTAGACTAGGGAAGCTGGGCGCAGGAAAAACGACGTCATCGGACGAGGTCTTTGCGGAGGGGAATGCTGCCTTGGGGGACAAGGCGGCAACGCCATAGCCAACAAGGCGAGTTATCGGTTGACCCAGCTGCCGCTGGCAGCATTCTCTGCAGTCCGCATTCCAGACAATGTCGTCCTGTCGCGTAGCTTCTCGGACCCGGGCCTTGACGGCGAGGAGTGTAACAGACTAGCGTAAGCGCTGTAGAAGGTAAAGAAAATTTGGCTGGACGCGCGAGTGTGCTAGTCAAGGGGTCGCGATGAGAACGCGTGGTGCATGGACATGATCCAGCCGCTGGTAAAGCTCGCGATGAGGCTTGAAGCAGAGGAGAAATTCTAACTTCAGAGAGTGTAGGTAACCCTCAGCTTCGTTTAGCACCCAATGCTGATCTTCGCAGACAGTCCCAAGCCATCGCCACTGAATTCCTCTCCTCCGTGCCCGACGCCACCCCGCCTCCTCGACCGCAAAGCCAACCTCACACTCTCTTTCTCACACATGTCCGGTTTCGAAGACCTTTACAACCGCCTGAGGATCGTGGACAATCCCGTCGTAAGCCACATGGCCAACGCCTTCACGAAGACGACCGCCCTCTTCTCCTGCGTGGAGGTCAAGCCCGCCAGCGGCGATCACACAGAAGTAGAATACCAACTCAGTATACGGATGGCAGCCAGCCTACGGAAGAAGATGCGGTGGCAAGCTGTCGCAAGCGGTGTGGGAGAAAATAAGAAAGAAGTGTAATTATCGGCCCTTTTCCTCAGCGCCGACTTGATACCTGCAGAGTCACCAGCAGCTCTTCGGCCCACATAGACGCTCCCCTCGTCGTCGACGCTTAAGCACCGCACATCGCGGAGGCGGAAGCGTGTAATCTCCTCCGCGCCTTGTACCTGTACAATGTCGACACGCACCCACCAGTCCTAAGTGTCTAGGACGCGATAGCGACACCGAAGTCCTGCCAACTCACAGCGTATTAGCATTGTCGCATTGTCTTCTAAGCCAGCATTCTCCTTCTCGTAGCACTCCTTCCGTGGAGACTAATAGTCTATATTCGTATGCTTAGACTAGAGCGGTAACGTCGCTTAGGTCGCGATGCCTGTGGGAACGCGGCGCCATCTGGCGGCATAATCGGCTCTACAAAAGACTCTAGAGGAGGACTACAGGAGCTGCTATACCGACTGCGGCGGCGGAGGCTCCGCCAGCACTCAATCCGGCTGTGGGCGCCTCTCCCCAACCGCGCGGGTTGCGCCCGCTGTTACCCTCGACAGCCTCCAAGAAGCTCTACCGCCCGCTTCACCCCTTGGACGCCCACCTAGACGAGCTCGACGGCCGTCCGCAAGATGTTAACATCAAGAAGTGATAGCTAGGTGCGAGATACGAACGAGCGTAGCCACGAACGGTACCTACGAGCATAACGAGTCCGCCCGTGCCGACGAGCGTACGATGCTCCCGCTCTAGACCTTCGACATACCGCAATCAGCGTCTCCGCAAATGCCCTCGGACTCGACTGGGTGCCTTCGATCCTTGATGCTCGCGCCGATGCCGAGTCCTGCACACACACTTCTCTCACGATTCTATCGACTATCAGACGTTGCAATTAATCGAATACGTCGCTATTGTATACACCTCCGCAGTCCAGAGATTCGCCATCCGTCGAAGCAGCCTACACACACGCAGCTCGAGAATTTGGTGGCACAGAGACACATCGTGTAGAGGGTCGCAAGCGACGCTCAGACACCGTATATTTGAAGGAACCCATCAGCTGCAATGGATACGACACAAGGCATTGGAATGCCGAGGATGCGTTATCAAAGTTTAGCGGCGAAGGCAGTTGAAATAGGCTATCACATCATCGCGGAGGAAGTTTCCCTCAGAAAGCCTAGATCAAGCGCTACAGCGCATCGCTTCGCACTATGAGAATACTGAACCAGCGGCCGCGCGGCAATATAGTGGAGAAGGGAGCGGAGCATGAAGTTCTCGTGCCATTCGTCGAGCCATGCCCCGCGAGGTAGGTTAGCAGAAGATATTTAGGCTCATCAATGCTTAAACTCGTTCTAACAGTCAGTAGGAACAGCCGCTGTATCAACTGTAACCTACGGCTGAAGGGGCAGAGCGCGGGGACGTACTAGTTTATTATCGCCGGTCAATTGAATTATACTGCGAGAAATAATTTGTGGACTCTGCTCTAAAGCATGAAAACAAGGACGCTCCGCAATCGGTTGCACATTGCGTGTAATGAACTATGGTCCTATTCCTGCTTGTAATCCCGACAAAGCATTAACAATCTGGTCTGCAGAGTCATATCCAAGATTCCAGCAGGTCCTGACAACACCTCCACCAAATTCAACGCTTAGGTCTTCCGGAAATTGACCAGCTCGATATAGATTGATGATCTTGTCCCTGTCCCGGACATTATGGAGTTCTGGATATGGTTCATGACCTTGCATGATGTGATAGATGGCGGTACCTAGAGCAAAAAGGTCCGTCTTCCGATCCGCATGCAGTGGATTTTGGCGAGGGAGGGAATACTTGACGGATTCGCCTGCAAAACCATCCAGGGTCTCTCCATCAACAGTTCGATAAATGCCTTGGAAGTCGCAAAGTTTGATATCGAAATTTTTGTCGAGAAGCAGGTTTCCTAACCTGATATCGCAGTGAAGAACATCCTTGCTGTGGACGTATGCCACGGCTTCCGCCGCCTGACGGGCCCACCGGAACCTGTCCTGTGTCGATCCTGCAAACTTCTCTAGATGCTCATCTAGTCGACCATTGTGTGCATATTCTAGCCTGAGGCCTTCTTTATCCCACTCTTTCAACTTGATTATCCGTGGGTGAGAGCCGAGTACACCGAGAATTGTAGCCTCCACCTTCAGGCCGTGTTGATCGTGTTGTTCATGCGGATACTTTAGAACGGTGTCCTGGTCAATAATGCCTACGTAGCTTGTGGAGCCCGTAGCAATGATTCGTTGGACCCCAGCAGGGAAGAATGGGTATATGAAGGTTGCATCTTCCATTACTGTCTTCCTTGGAGTTCAAGGTGGGATCCAATCGTGCAGCGTCTTTAAAGGTGGTATTAGAGTCTACCTGACGAGATAGGAAGCGTATGTCGAAGTTCCAAGGTAGAGGGCGGATAAGGCAGACGAACGTTTAACTTCGTACGGGGCTTGCTACCGTTCGCATTGCGATGGGGCCGTGGATTCAGTTTGGTTAAGCTGATCGAGCCTTAGCGACTTAAACTCGAGGCAAGATAGTTCCCTTGTTGAGGTATGAAGGGCCACTTGCAGTTCGAGAGTGTGTTCTTGAGGTTGAAGCGATGGAATATTGTCGGGCCCGAGCACCAGGTGGTGCGAAAATTCGTGTCGGATGAGTCAGCATCCGAACACCAAACAATCCATCTGCCATCCACAACAAAACTTCGACCAAATACAACTCCACCAAATCAAGCCCGATTTTTACGATGAGCACGTCGATCGAAAGCCCTCGCACTCCTAAATGCCGTCAAATTAAATTCTAGTACGATACCGGTCACCGTTCGCGATACCTATGGCACGCAAGCCACCGACGCGATAACGAGAACTTTAACGATGTTGCCCATACACATGGCGTCTCCGCGCGTACGGGCGAGAGGTGGAGAAAAGAGCAAGAAGAGATGGGCACACCCACTGCGCAGAGGCGTACGCGCAAGTATAAGGCAGAGCAGAAAGGCACAAAGCTTTAGGAGGCCCTTTCGAGTCCTTGACCAAATGGTGGATAAGACTAATCCAGTGGCAGAAGAACCGCTCGTTGAACAAGCCCGGCATTTCGATGTACAATTATCAAAGCGTCAACTCTAGTACAACTTAGGAAAGCGCGAGGATGCCCATCTATACGTCGCCGCATATTCAGATAAGATGAGAGAAGCCAATTATACATGGCGCCGGCGATTTGGTGAGGAGAACAAGGGCAAGAAAGTTATCGGGTTCTGGGACCTCGTACACTTTACGGACGAGGCTCATTTCAACCCACAAGAGCGCCTCCAAAAGCCACGTATATTGCGCAAGGGCGAGAAGAATCCACGCTCCACCACAACGCCGCATCGGGATGTAAACAATTGGCAGAGGATCTATCAGACCGTAGCAATCAGCTCCCACTACTTTTATCAAATCAGCGGGCGTCGTAGCGTTGAGAGCCACACCGACACAGAGCCAGTGGCGAGCCAGAAGCGGCAGGGGCCCTGCGTCACACCTGCTGCGGGGTCGACAGCGGCGGGAAGGCCCTCAAAGAAGCTATGCGGAGGCTGGAAGCGTATGAGACAGCCTGGGACATGCCGTGAAGCCATCTTGCCAACACCTGGGCACCAAAATCTCCGCGGAGGCACCCTTGGACTCGACTGGGTGCCTTTGATCCTTGATGCTCGCGCGACGCCGAGTCCCGCACACACACTTCTCTCACGATTCTATCGACTATCAGACGTTGCAATTGGTCGGATACGTCGCTATTGTATACACCTCCGCAGTCCGGAGATTCGCCCATCCGTCGAAGCAGCCCACATACACGCAACTCGAGACTTTGGGGTTACAGAGACACATCGCGTAGAGGGTCGCAAGCGACGCTTAGACACCGTATATTTGAAGGAACCTATCAGCTGCAATGGATACGACAGGGCTCGAGCACAATGTCGACGAGGGTATCGCGACGAGTAGCGTCATCCCAACCACGGCAGCTGTATCCGCCCAGGCTTCGTTAACGTGGATGTCGTCGCTAACGCACCGGAAGGAGACGGCGACGGTGCCCGAGCCGGGAAACTGGATTGGCCCGTCGACTAACGTGGCCTGGACGAAAGCTCGGAAGTCGGGCGAGAGGGGCGGTCTGGTGTCGAGGTCGGTGGCGTCCTCCATACTTATGGTGTAGTAGCTCAAGGTCGATGAGTAGGCGGAGACGCTGTAGTAGCGGGAAACGCGCCGGGACTAGTCGTAGCAGGGCTCGGTCGAGGGGAAGCGAAGGGAGGGGGACAAGCTCTCGTTCCTCATCTCCGCGTACGTGACGTGGAGCAGTGCCTGAAAAAGTCGACGCTGTGCGGGCTGCGCTCTGCGAAGAACGAGCAGTGCCTGAGCAGCTGCTTGTGCACACTCTTGTAGCTGCTGCGCCTGCTGCCTATTCCTTCGCCGTCTCCGGTGCCCGTCTTAACGCTATTATAGACGGCCAACCGCCCAGATGGGCTCGCGCGCCATGGCCGTATGAAGATATCGAGACGCCTGGCGTTGGTTCCCTGGGCGATGGCCTTGGAATCGTGGTCGTCGGCTGCTCGGGTGGACGCGCTGGCCGGCTGCTCACCGTTACTGGGACTGGAGCGGTACGGTTTCCTGCCGAGGAGGACGGCTCGAGGGCCGCTGCGAGCGAGACACGGCTTGTTGGGCTGACACGGCTTTGTGCGGGACGGGATTGCGACGCCGCTGGCGACTTGAGCTGCACGGCAAGCGGCCTTTTATTTCGCCGGTCTCGGCTTGGCACCAAGAACCCTTCACCCATCTACGTTTAAAGCTTAATAGCTGGCGTATCGCGCCTCATGCGACAGGCTCAAGAGAGGTAAGATACTGTGTAACTACCGCTAAAAGGCTACTAACCCCTACTATAGGCACCTCATCCCGCTCCAGATTTCTTCCCCGCCTCTCAAGCCAACCTTCCCGCGATGCTTGTCCTCTAGACTCGCCGTCTTCACTGTCGACTTCGCGCGCCGGCCTCCCAAGTCTATCACCCTACGATTCCACATGGAGATCAAGCATACAGAAAACGCAACGGAGCGGAGAGGCTCGATAGGCAGGTTGCGAGGGGTCCCCTCGCAACCTGGTGACGCTGCCTTCCACAACCGCTCATAAACCTATCGTCCCATTTCTACCTCAAGGGCTACAACGACCTCCTTTGCGGTCTCGAACCGCCGCTCGCAGCAGCATCCTGCGATGATGCCTCCGAATGTCACTTCGGACAGATTCGGAAAATGCCCTTGTTCGAATAGCGCACGCACATGTTCGCCATATACAAATCTCTCTGCGTTCTGCGGTGCTGGGCCGTTGTAGAAAGGGTAATGACCAGTCATGATAACATAGATGATGACTCCCAGACTAAAAACGTCGACTTTTGGCGATTCGTAATCTGTTAGGCATGGGTCGCTGAAGGGATCGTCAGGGAGCAGGCCGCCGTATAGATTCAGCTCCACGCATCTAGAGCCGCCAAAATCAGCAAGAAGTAGATCTAGACTCTGACCAATCTGATGGACAAGCACATTCGTTGTGCTAAGATTCGAGTGGATAATGCCCATCTCGTGGGCGTATGCGACGGCTTGAGCGACCTGCAAACTCCACCTCTTACGCAATGTGTCGTCGATTTTGGCATTATGCTTGTCGATGTACGATTGAAGATCTCCGCAGTTCGCTTCACCAAGCAGCAAGCCGTTCTTCATGCCCTCGAGTGTACAGGTCCCATAGTATCTGGCCATATTAGAACTGCGACGTGGTGCGGAGATGGATACAAACGGAACAATCCTGGGATGGCTTCCCAGTCTGCTTAAGAGCTTCTCCTCCACGGCGAATGCATTATCGACCTCAGCAGCGAACTCCTCGCGACCTGGTAATCCTTTGTCCATCTCCCGCGGCATTTTGCCAGCCAAGCCATGCCCTACGCGAAAGACAATCGCTGTACGCCCATTCTTGCTTATCGTCTCCATATCGGGGGAAAAGATCAAGTCTTCGGGGGTGTCGTGGTTAGAAGTCCTGCTGCCCTGCCTGGTGTCAGGGGTACGGGGATGATTCTAGACTAGCGGTGAAACGGTCGAGTCGGCTTGGCATTGAAGTAACGATTCGAATCTACGCAGAAAGAGCTGGGGATCCTGAGCTTCTCGGAAGCGGTGTTGCATCTCGTTGAGAGAAGTGAGCCCCAGCACTTCCGTCTAATTTCTGTCGCTGACGTGTAATAGATTCCAGAAATCTATTACGTGACCTTGTACTGGTATTTCAGATCTTCCCAGCCTCTCGTCAGCTCCCTTCTAGGTTTCGAAACGCGACGCTTCTTGACGATATCGACCGCTTTACTCCTAGTATAACGTCACGGACATACCATTTTCGGCGCACTGTTACCCTATGCGAACAAGTCATCAGGTGCGCACCTGAAGAAAAGATCTGGGATGCTCTCTACGTCCTCGTCACCGAATCCACCCCTCCGCCCCGTCTTCCATCATCCTTGCAACAAACGCCATGGCTGCGCAACACGAGCAGCTTCGCAAACTCGACCGGACACCGCAATTACGTAGATAACGTGGCGAGGGAGATTCAGAGTCTAGGCTCCGTTGAGAAATGGCAGGTCTCCGGCCAGCTGCGCAGGCAGTATTCGTATAGTGCAAAAAGGGGATCCTGAGACCACAACGGCTGGAAGAGCTGGCCCGAAGAGGCAAGAGAAGGGACTCCCAGAGTTGGTTCACACAAATGAGCATCAGTATGCCTTCCGGGGCTCGACGGTGACCCCGCGGCACCATTAGCCTTTGCAAGGCGCTACTGCGCATCGTAAGTTACACGTCGGCCAGAATTGCATCTGATCATTCATAGTTCGTGCGCACTCCCGACTCCGACGATTCATCACCTTGTACACTCGTCCATCCGACGCGAAGAAACCCACTGCTACTAAGGTGAACAACACTCGAGACGTCGCGTCCTTATCTCAACACCGGCTGACGGGTGCCTGCAGAACTGTAGCGTCCCCAGCCATCTTTCCCCCAGATCCCACGAAAGACAGGACAATAAACGTCAAGGGCTTATATCTCTCGATTGTCAACAGGCGCAGACCCACGCCCTCTCTGTCAGTGAGTTCCCATGCTCAGAAAGTCACGTGAAAATTTGCCAAGCCCCTTCAAAAAGTGATCGCAGCGCTTACTTAGAATCCTTCACTTTGCGTATAACCCGAAGCCACCCAGACATGCAGACTTCTAAACCACAACCAGCGTTGTTACGGAATACCAAAGCCTCAACCGAAGACAATGGGTTCGTACTCAATAAAGACGCTGAAACAAAATCTTGGGCCCATCTCATCGCCGGCGCGTAAGCTTTTCCTGCCTTCCTAGTTGAACAGTGCGACGAAATTCTTATCTCACCAGGAGCGGTGGAATGGCAACGGCAATCCTCACATCGCCTCTTGATGTCTTAAGAACTCGGTTACAGGCCGACTTCTATCGATCCCATCTCTCCCCACGCCATAGTCTTCATGGTATGCCGCCTTCGAACCCTGGCTACCTCCACACATCACTCCGCCACATTCGCGAAACTTTCCAGATCCTCTTCTCCATCCAGCGCATCGAAGGTTGGCGTGGTCTCTTTCGAGGACTAGGCCCTGGCCTTACTGGCGTAGTCCCCGCGAGCGCGATAAAATTCTACACATATGGTAATTGCAAGCGGCTAGTATCCGAAACGATGAACTGGGAAAAAGATGCGGCAGCAGTTTATATTATTGCTGCCGCTACTGCTGGCGTGGTGACCGGGACAGCAACAAATCCGATATGGCTTGTCAAAACGCGGCTGCAACTGGACAAATCGCGGGCAGAGAAAGGAGGTGACGCTATACGCCAACAGTATAGAAATAGTTTCGATTGCGTTATCCAGGTGCTGCGACAAGAGGGCTTCAGAGGATTGTATCGTAGCCTAAGCGCAAGCTATTTAGGTGCTGCGGAGAGATATCATCCACCGTATGTTCATCTCAAGCTCAACGGTAATCCGCGGTCCCATCCGATTTCCAGAGGCACCACAATTTTTCTCCGCCGTTGGGCCATCCCTTCTCGTTATGCACCCAGACATCGCGGGGTTGATCGCCCTGCGAGCGAACCTTCTTACGGCCCTGGAAGCAGTGGAATCTGCCATCCGCGAATGTCCAGGATTCCACAGCAATACTTCCTTGGCTACTTGAGCTAGCAGTGTTACGCTTTCGCGGACGGGAATTGCGCGATTTAGGGTTACGCTTGCGTGGATGCATGTCGGGAGCAGGGTCGTCTATCGATGTCTCTGAGTCCTGTGCGGATTGGCTTGTGAAATAGACCTCGTCCTCAGTGGTAACAGTCTCCTCGTGGCTTTGAGATCCGTATGGAGCGCCCGAAGGGTCAGACGCCTCGCCATATCCATCCTGCGAGGTAACGGTCTCCTGGCTTTGAGACTCGTAGGCTACCCCCGGCGAAGTTTCGGACGCCTCTCCGTATTCCGCATTTGCCGTCACACTGGCTTGTGTGACTGCCGTCGCATTTGCTTGCACGATTGCGGAGTCCCTCCACTCCTTCGCCAGATCTCTTGAGTTCCTATACCACGTCGCTCCTTGGCGGAAGGTCTCAGCGGTGTCGGTCATTCCGAAACTGCGTATTTGAGTCGTATGGTACTGCGGCTGGCCGCTCGGATCCTCTGGCTGCGTGGGGTGCATCGCGTACAGCTGCAGCGTGCCGGTGCCGCTGTGGTACGTCGACCCGAGCGTGTACGCGTTGCCGTCGTACGTATAGCCGGCCTGCCCGTACGACTGGATTGCGAGCATGCCGCGCGCGCCGATTCCGAGATCCTGAGTGATCTGCCGCTTCATCTCGGAAGCTTTCCCGTCTGGCCCTTTTAGTTCCGTAAAGTGATTCGCGAGCAACGGCCTTGACGTATCAGTGCACGGGATGATGTACGGCGCGAGGTCCTTCCGCACACGCGGGTCGAGTTCTGTGGGGCAAGAGCCGTAATAGTAGTCTGGCTTTGCGTTCGAAATACCACTAGCCAACGGCTGGACGTGGTTGAAGACTTCGTCCTGGCCCGACGGTATAGTGGTGTTGCCTTCGATAATCGGGAAGACCTTGCTTCTCACGACTGCTTCAGTTTTGGCCTCGTCATTCTTTGATTGAAAGCCTTCAAAAGCTCCATCAGAGAACTGGGAAGGTGACAGGGAAGGCCTTGGCTGAGCGAGCCGTTCTTTTGCTTCCTCAAAATTGTTCTGTTTTGGACCTCGATTGTATGGACGATATCCTGCATCAATAAGCGCCTGCTCAAAGGCAGGATCTCTTGATGATAAAGTTGTCTTCCGCGTACTTTGGCTCGGCGCACTGGAAGGGTCGGTTCCAGTTCCGATTCGGGAACGGCTTGAACGGGATTGGCTTGAACTCATTGTGCGGACGGCTTCTGTCTGCGGTGCTGGGTACTGAGACGAATTAGCGTGATACTCTATAGCATAGATATGACCCACTCCTCTGATATCGCGAAGGTTTGGACCACCGTGGCGAGCAAAGCGCTTCAGCTGTTTGACTAGATCTTCCTTCAGGACGGACCGCGCTGGCGGCTCTAGTGCAACAGGCCGAATTGTCCTCCTGTTGAACTCTCGAAGTGCGCGACGACAGAGCGGCACTCGAGAGAGATTATCCCAGAACTCAGGAGGTGTCCTGCCGCGTTGCGAACGTTTTTGGCGTTTGACCGGCGGTTGAAGAGTATCAGTCGACCGCGCGATCTCAAGTGTCCGCTTTCGTTTTCGACGTTGAGGTTCCGATTCCTCTCCAGGAGGCATAACCGTTCATCGACAAAACTCGAGGTAGAGGCGCATATATGGCGCTTCGTGAGTGGGAAGCGCCCGCTCGAAAGTTGGGGGGCGGGGAACAGAAAAATCGGGTCTAGGGGCGCTTGGCGGCTATGAGTCATTGATCCCTGCACAACCAAGCGACCTCCATCCTCCGTAGCGCCTATTGACCGAAGCTCCAATAGACGGTCGGATCTCTACACTCGCCATCGTCACTCGCTTGCAAAAACAACTTTCCCAGCCTCAAAGAGTCGCACGCCCCATGTGTTGATTGCACCAAGGTGTTTCTGATCTCCTTCCCGCATGCTTTCTTCGCCTTTTCTTCGCCTTTTGTGGAAGCTCCGATAGGCAGGAAGCGATGCAATGGGCAACTTGGTATTCATCCCGTGCTCGCTGTAACCCTCTTCTCCATCGCGCAACATCTAACGACAATATAGACTCTTCGCATCGAGGACAAGTATCAGTTAGACCGCCGGCTGGGCGGCGGATCATTCGGTGAGGTATATCAAGGTGGGTAGAGTTCTCGAAACGTCTTGACGAGAGGCTAACCGGTTCTAAGGACACGATCTCAAGACTGGACAAGAAGTCGCCCTGAAACTCGAGTACGTACAGATCGATCCTTCCCTCCTCGAGAATGAAATCGAAATCTACGAAAAACTTTCCGGAGGGCCCGGCATCCCTCGAGTATACTGGCATGGAGAGGAATGCGAATTCAGGGTGATGGCGTTCGAGCTTCTCGGCCCCAATCTGGAGAACCTGTTCAACTACTGCGGCCGGAAATTTTCGCTCAAGACGGTGCTGTTACTCGCGGATCAGATCATCCCCGGCTTTCAGTACATTCATTCCGAAGGGTACATCCACAGAGACGTCAAGCCGGACAACTTACTAATGGGCGACGGAAAACAAGGAAACAAGGTGTATATCACCGACATTGGGTTGGCCAAGGAAATTGAGGAACGGGACTGGCACAGCTATCCTGTAGTCGGCACGGTACGTTACGCCAGTATCAACGCACACTTAGGGAAAGGTGAGTGCAGAACATCGGCAGCGGAAAACGTCTCGCTAACACTGCGACTCAGAGCAGTCTCCTCGTGATGATATGGAGTCGCTCGGATACGTCCTCTTATACTTTCTTCGGGGTTCTCTACCTTGGCAGAGTCTGAAGGCTGAATCTGGGGCACAGAAGGAGAAACTCATTTTAGAGAGGAAGCAGTCGGCAGAAGCCCACGGGCTCTTCAGAGACCTTCCAGAGGAGTTCAAGAAGTATTTTGAGCACGTCCGCTCCCTTCGCTCCGGCGAGAAACCGAACTACGTGTACCTACGTCGCTTGTTCCGCAACCTGTTCCGCCGCAAAGGTTACGAGTATGATTACGTCTTCGACTGGACAGAGTTAAAATTCTTGGAATACTTGGAGAGAAGTAGAAAACGATCCGAGGACGGCGAATGCACGCCTTACATAAACGCGTGACAATTCTCAGCGACGCCTTTTGCAATTCAAACGTCGTCCCGACACATGGATATCTACTTCAACGGTTCCAGAGACGGCCGGAGGATGCCGCTAGGTGACATGAAACATTCCGTCGTTCGATTTCCTCGTGTCCGACATTCATCATTCGACGAGGCGAACGTCAGTGGTAGCTCGCACGTCCAATTCGGGCTGCTTCGTTCATCATACCGCCTCTGGTCTCTTCGGTCAATCCGTGAAGGCCGTCCAATCCAGCTTGTGCCCCACTGAAACCATGACTTAGTTCCATCCTCTTAACTTGTGAGGGCCAGCTCTGTCTAATGACACCTAGCCGTCCTCCGTTTCGTAAGAATCCTACGGCGTTGATAGGTCTGAATAATGCCGTCATCAAGCAATCTAGTCCAGTAACGTAGCTCGGTCGAGCTCATGTAGCAGGTTGCGGCCGAGAACATCGACCACATAACGGAAGACCTCACCTAATATGGGAGAGCGGCGGTCTGAGCTGGTCGGGGCACGGTGTCCCCGGCCGCCCGGCCGTCCCCGGGCAATTCTAGAATCCGCTAGCGTCCCGAGCGCTTTTTTTCACCAACACGCCCTCCGGCAGCTTCCTCTTCCTCTGCGGCTGAAGAACCACTCATTGGAAAGCCGCTTCTTCCACTGCTCATGATACCTGCGGCCGCTGCGGTGAGTTTTCGTCCGACTATGGGATACCTCTTGTCGTCAGCGGGTAGTGCGACGCTGTCACGCGCGAGGTCGATGACCGGCGCGGCCGGAGGGATGCGGCCTGGCGGAGGGCGGGAGTTGGAGTCTGTCCTGGATGTTAGCATCTTCGCAAGCACCTTACCCGGATTCATGCACTTACTCGACCTGATGTCGCAACTGCCCTGGAGACCGTCACGCCAGCAGGAGATGCACGATCCGTCGAACCACCAAGACCACTCCCCCTCCGTCGACTCTACGCGCATGTGCCGACATTGCGAGAACGGGCCGTGGTGGTCTGCACAGCGCGTGCACGGGCGAGGCGCCACCACCGCGCCGCGAGAGTGTTGCAGTATCGCTGCCGCGAAAAACCGCCTGTTGAAGGTCGAGGTCGTGACCTCTCCGTTGCGGTTACTTGGGCGGACGAGGGCGCCCTAAGTGGCCTCCGCCTCACGGACTTCGATGCGGCGACCGGCGTCGAGGCGAGCATGGGGGTACCGGGAGGTGACGAATTCGAGGGTCTTGCTCCTCTTGATCCGGTCTCTCATGGCAGAGACGATCTGCTGCGCGAGGGCGAGACTGGGTTGGTTGATCTTCGCTGCGCGGAGCTGATTGACTGCGAGCGAAATGTTAGCATGCACAGCTCAGACCTGGACGACGGAGGCCCACAATGTAGTCTATCGCACGCTGCGAATCATTCCAGCAGTACGCCGCTCGCAGGGAGATGCTGAATAGCGCGTGATGTAGGAGGGTTACTTGTGGGAGGCGTGGTCGCTGTGCTCGCCGTGCTTGCCGTGCTTGCCGTGCTGTGTCCTGGTGCGTGAGAACCTGTCAGCGCTCCTTTACAGATAACAGAGACAGCACTCAGAGGGTCGAACAATGCTAATTAGCCTCTGTTAGTAAGGGCGACGGCAGCGCGTGGTCTTCGAACCGGCGCCCAGCCGCCGACGCGCAGCCATAAGCTACACAGCCACATTATCTAATGAAGATTACGGTGTAAAAGTGGGGCGCGCCCGGCTGCGCCCAGTATTCCCGGCATGACGCCGATTCCGCCAAGTCTTCATCCTTCTGTCTTTCTCATCCTCAGAGCCTCCCCGCTCCATACTCGAAACTGTTCTGCACTACCGACTACTGAGTTTCGTGGGTTATTGTCGCTCATTCTACAGCCATCTTTTCCGTCGTCCCTCTAAGTAACCTGGACACGCCGTCCCAGCAACATTCTCAAACAATCGAGTCCTTGGGCATCCCTCCACTCTCGCTCCATATACCCGGCGTCCCATCTAGCTGCAACCCTAGCACCTTCTAGTGCACGCAAGCTCCTCCCCCAACGTCCAACTCCACCGTCATCCGCGGCTAGCTCGCTCACTAGCCAGCCTCGCCCTATCCACCTCGTTCGAATACCACGAGGAAGCGAACGAAAAGCACCTGTTCGACACAGAATAATACTGCGATCTATAAATCTTCCGAGCTATTGGCAAGAAACAAGCTCTAGGTGCATTGAAGTGTCGAAAATGAGCAACCGTCCGAACCCAAAAGACATTGTCCTATCACTCGACATGGGCACAAAAGATTGTTTCTACCGAATTCGTAGAGATCATACAGATACCAGCTCGGTCGTTTATGTTCACCTTCAAGATTTGGACATCCTAGACGAGGATAGCCGCACATACGGACCTTCCATTGTCCGTAACCTTAGCCTTGTAGTAGACGCCTGGAATCACTCCTGGACTACCTTGACTGTCTTTAAAAATAAGGGCAAAGTACAGTCGGCCGAAGACGAATGGACGCCACATTCCTTACCCCTGGACACTCCTATAAGAGATCTTCCTCTTCTAAATGTTCTGGATCTCGACGTCAGGCATAGATACAAGAACCGTGTCTCCCTCATACAGTTTCAATCGCAACGGCGCATATTTAAATTCTGCCCATTCGAGTTCGAGCTCCCATACCTGGCGCAAGAAATTAAGGCCCTGACAGTACTCTCAAGTCGCGGATGCACGTTGATCCCTCCCGTATTGAATTACGTGTTTGAAAGGAGCAAAGAGCAGATAATCGGGTTTGTCTGTGAAGAACTGCAAGGGCGCTTCGCAGAGCCAGGTGACTATGACCAGTGCAGAGACGCCCTCCAGAAATTACACTCTTATGGCTGCGTTCACGGGGACCTCAACAAGTTCAACATTATTTTAACAGCGGACGGCCCTCGATTTATTGACTTTGAGAAGTCAAGGCTAAATACCAATCTTTCGGATGCTGAACTCGCCACACTACAACAACGAGAGGTTGATGGGCTTGATGAAGCACTGAATGCTGAAGAAGGGTGGGGGAAGCCTTGGTCGGAGACGGGTTCTTGACAGGCTATAGTCGTGGATTTCCTATGGCACCAGAGTTGTATCCGGATTTGCTTGCAGGAACAGACGCAAACCTCTTCGCGGTTTGCCCAAAGAGCCTCGAGGAATGAAGTCTTGATTTGGCGGTTTTTGTGGGCAAGGGGTTCATGCACGGCGGCTCGCTCCTGGAACAAACGTTCAACTCTTTCAGATGTTTCCGCGCGCCCCGAAGAGTCTCCTTCATTCGATATGCGAACTTAAGAGAGCAAGGGCGGACACCCAGACATCGCCTTCTCGAAGACGGGGTCGCCCCATCACACGGGACCCGGATGCCGGGCGGGTGCGGATTCATCGAGTGGAGACGGAGCTCCGGAGCAAGGCTGGCCGCGTTGCAGTGCGACTTTGTCGCGACGGGCGAGGGAGTCGAGTGTTTTTGCAGGTCCGGGCGATCGGGGCACCGCGCTCGTCGGGTCTCCCGATATTAACCCGAGGTGTCTAACAACAGAACCAGTTTCGGGAGTGCTTCGGCGCTTCAAGGATGCACCCCTTGGCGTTTTCATTAGCCTTTGAATCTCGATCCGACTTGTGGTCGGGAAGAGTAAATAGCTTCGTCATATTGTAGGCCCGCATGCTACTCTCAATATATGCCTGCCCTCAGAACCTTACTGGCTGCACCTAGACGAGCTCCATTGCTATTCTATCAATCTTATCCATGTCTGTGGATATGTACGCCCGACGTCCAGCATCGAGCCCTCGAACAGTACACAGACAGCCTTGCCTTTGTCGTCTTCCCTATAGTCGTGGGAAGGATTGGTTACCGTTTGACGCACGATCGTATCGGCTTGTATCTGCGCACGAATCCCGCAGACCACCGGGCTCGAGCGCGATGCGTACATCACCGATCTCACACGGTGCCCTGTGCCAAAAGGCTTGTCGATTGTGACGGCAATTGTCCATTGCAGCGAGTCAGAACTCTCTCTCAATACAATGGCCCTAGATCACAAGCTCCTCGGTGGGGAAAGTAAAGTCATCCGCATAACCCAGCTATCGCCGGATTCATGGATGATATTGGGATACCAATATGACGATGGTACGTCGGGCCCATGTACTTGCGCGGACCGTATGAGCACTTCCCACGGTGGTGCTACCCATCATGGCACTATCCATCCAGAGGACGAGGACAACGGGAAGACGAGAATAGAGGGGAGCTCACGGGCAAACACCAACCTCATGCTGCCGGCAGTAATCCAGGATCTCTCAGAGGCGATACGCGCTTCCGCCAAAGAACGCGCAAACCGTGGTTAAAGTCGGACGAAGAGCGATTGCTTGCATACAAAGACAGAACGAGCATAGGATGGGGGGATATATTCGAATACTTCCCAGATCGATCGGATGGAGCAGTAAAATTGCGCTATTACACATTACGCAAGAAGAATCCGGAAGGCTATCGCGGCATCACCGATCCAGACGACTTTGACTGCATGTCACTTGGGTCTGACGAGTCTGGCACCTGATCTACGGCACGCCTTATTCCCCTCATCCCTTCCCTCCCATATCCAATTACGTTTCGCCAAAGCTTCAGCGCCCGAAAGATGCCACTCACACTCCTCGTTTCGCAGAAACCTAAGAAACCAACCTCTGTGGCGAAGCAGGGTTCGACTAAGCTGCTCTTATCTACCAGTCACACACGCCGCACGTGCTGCATCTTCTTCTGCAAGCTGGCTGCCATCTATATGTTGAGCTGGTATTCAGCTTCTCTGTGGTCGTCGCTGGCGGACTTGACCTCTACACAGGAGAAGACGGCAGTCGTCTTTGAAGGCGTCGGCCACGTGGTTTATCAGGCAGTTTGTATAGGTCTTCGAAGCCGGGGGATGGCATGTGGGAGAAAGACAGTGCGAGGTCGGCTATGCAGTCGAGGAGGCGTGATTTGCCAGAGGCGTCGGGCACGGAGGAAAGGAACTAGGTGGGCGATCGCTTGTGACTGTCCGCTCGGATCAGGATAGGATGCCAGGCGGAGGGTTACCTACACGCTCTGAAGCCGGAACTTCTCCTCCCCTTCAAGACTCATCGCGAGCTTCATCAGCGGCTGCATTACGTCTATCCACCCACGCGTTCTCACCGCGACCCCTTGACTGACACACCCGCGCCTTCATCCAGATCTCCTTACTCGCAGCACGTAAGCCAGTGTGTCACACTCCTCGCTGTCTATGCCCAGGTCCAACGGGCTACGGGCCATGGTATTTGCTCTGGGCGTGACGGTTAATCCTTTGGGATCCAAAGTCCTAATCGATAAGTTCCCGTAGGCAGCCGGGTATCCAGCCTCTGTCCAGCACTACATGCTGCTGGAGTCGAGGTCTCGGGCATGCGGAGCGAGAATGGAAGCGAAGGGACGTCTGAGGACTCGATTGTTGGTTGTTCGAGAGTGTTGCGTCACAGTGTGCAGCTTGTCGCTGACCACGGTGTCATGCCACGAGGAGGGCGACGCGATTAGAAAGACGCAAAAAGCTGGCGTAGAATTAGCAGCAATGATACATGAGGAATATTCAGAGTTCAAAAGACTCGAGCGTGGAGTGGGATGGAGGGAATGATCTCACCCTAGTGTTGGTTCGAAGCCGGTTCTTCAGCGGCGTATTGGTGAAAGAATGTTGTTGCCTACGCCAAGATTTTTGAAGCAAATCGTTGGTAGAGATGTAGGTGGCACTTAGGTTGTTCGGAGAAGGTCTCCTTTGCACAATGTCGTAGGTACGCCCACGAACGCATTGGTGACCGATGATGGGATGCGATGTGAGAAGAAGGGTGAGTGAGTGAGTTGTTTCATTTCGCCTGGGTGAGAAGAAGGATGACGCGCAACAACGTGCAGGTGAGGAGGCTGGCTCGGAATAACGTCGGCGCTTCTTGTCGGCTCAAGAGATCCACCGATGCCGGTGTTTATGCCAAGAAATTAATTTCCACAACAGCACACAGCAGACAACACGCTCAGAAGAATAACACCAGACGACACACTCAGAAGAATAACACCAGAAGGCTTCGACCAACGGATAATATGCCGAACTGGAAGCCTTTTATCATTCCTCCAACAGTACGTAGCAAAACTAGTCCTCCAAGTCATCTGCTAACAATGTTAGCTCATCGTCACGCCAGCTCTCCCCTTCTCCTCCGCCCCGTTTCTCCTCCTTCCTACCGAAATCCTCCTCCTGATATTCGACCAGGCCGGGTCTCTGGATAAGCTCTGCCTCGCCCTCTCGTGTCGACACCTCTTACAAGTCTCTGCACTTGCATCTCTACATGTTCCATTCAAGTGCAAGCATCGAGGCTGCTGCCAAGAGAAGTTGCTCAAGCGTCTCAGGCCTGTGGACATGCGCGGGAAGCCAAAGAGAAGCTGGAGGCTGTGTTGCGACTGCATGCAATATCGTCCGACAAAGAAAAGTTATTGGAATAAGAAACTAGTAACTCAACGTTTCGAGGAGGCCTGGGGTGGCGCGGTCCGCCATTGGAACACAAACTATTCTCTACAATGTCCTCAATGTTGGGAAGTGGAAGCGCTTGGACGATGTATGTAGAGTAGTTGACCTGACCGGTATGTCCTACTCCTATTACGGTCGAGGATCACTTTATTGAGATCACCACAAGCAGCAACACGGAGATTACGATAGTTCCCGTAGCACAACAGAGGAACTCATTTTATTGCCCTAACAGAAAGCATGGGAAGGGGTAACGTTATGAGGGCGAGGGTAGGGTGGACAGGTTGTGTCGTTATGCAACTGTGAGCTCGAGATCGGTCCAATAACGCTACTAGACGCATTTTGTCTAGAGAATCATTCTCTTTATACCGTCTTTTACTCAGGCTAGAGCCACTTATCCATGTCGCATGACCAGGTGTCCTGTAGTTGCTCGGCGGTCGTGGAGCTGACGATTTCAGAGGCGATGGGCGAAACGGCGATGCTGGCAGCTGGAGTCTCCTTTGCATGCATCGCCCTGAAGGGGGGCGGAGGACGCTTTCGAGCAATGGGTAGCTCGGGATGCCACTTTTGGAGTGTCAGATATTGTTAGATGCGACAAGGTGGGCAATTCAGGCCTTGAAAGGCTAATTACTCGCCCCACGCGCCAAGGGTAGTCACCCTTGGCCCTCCCGGGCTCAACGCAAAAACCGGGCTCAGTGCAAATTCAACCCCGCCGTCGACTCGGAGAGCTTCAAAAAGACGGGTTTTTTATAGGAAGTTGCTCCAGTAATGATTGAGATTTGATTATTATATACAAATCATCGTTCTTGGCCATTTTCAGGCATTTGCCACTGAATAATCGTGAACGGCGCTGGCTCGGAGGGCTGGCTCTGGGTATCGCCAGCCCCATCGGAGGTACCTTTCGCGAATGGGGAGTCCTTTGCAAGTACTGCCGCGCGCGCGTCGCTGGCGTATAATACTCCACCTGTTTGTACATGTCTCCTGTCAACTTGTTGTCGCTTTTTACGAGCGTTGGCGGCTTTTGTAGCTTCCTGAAGTTCGCCCTTGGTGACGTCAAGCTCAAAGCTTTGAGCTACAGTACCCTTGAAATACTTGCGCATCTTTCTCATGGGTATCCTCTAGTGGTCCTCCATAGCGTTGTATAATTTCTTCGCGACGTGGAGCGTAGTGGAGGGTGTATACGGCGTGTAAGGGCTCGAAAACGCGTCGCGCGCGCGCGTAGTGGGTGGAGTGGTGGGGCGCGCCGCGTCTTAAAAGCCGGGAAGTCGCTGCCGTACTATTAGTGGGTTGTATGGCTATATACCCGTCTTTTCAAAGCCGCTGAGTATAGTACTCCTCTTGAAAGCGCTCTGGCGGATTTCCTGTACGTGCGCGAGAAATTCCACCTTGTTAAAGTCGTCGCAGCTAGCCTGAATAGCAATTTCGACCGAGCGTTTGTGGGAGTGCTTCAAGGGCTGGAAAACAGTCCTATCAAGAGGCTGTAACTTATGCGATAGGTGAGGAGGCAGAGCGAATAGGATAATATTGTTGGCGTCGCAGTATTCCAGGAATTGCTGGGTGAGGTGGCTACTAAAGCCGTCGAATATTAGGAGTCTGCGCGCCCCTACCTGTAAGAGCTTCGAGTACTTGTCGAAATAGCAAATCTAGTGTAGCGATAGCTCGTCGTTACTATAGCCAGAGTCGCTAACGCCAAGTAGGTAGTTATCTGGGAGCTCTGTGTGATTGTACTACTGGCAGAGGTGTATTCGCGCCTTTAGGATGAGCAGAGGTAGGATGACTTGCCCGCCCGCGCTGATAGCTTCAACCGACGTCAAATAATCACGATTTGTCTGTGTCGCGACTGTAATACCTTCTCGACCCTGTAAACCAAAGCAGACGACTATCTGATTGCCGCCTATACCAAGGCGGAAGCCAGTTTCGTCGAAATTCCAGATGTCTTGTAGCTGTATGGCGTAGTCGTACATTTCCTAGCGGAGCTTCTAGAACCAGCCCTCTATAACCTCCACAGTTTGCGCGTTTACCCTATCTTTATCGCGAGGCTTCTGCTTCTGCTTCTTCAACTCTGGATTGTGTTTTAGAAAGCGTAAGACCCAGTCGCGCCCTAGAAACTGTGCGTGGAAAGGTGGGTGGGTTGCCGCGTTCAGGATGACTTCGGCCGCGCGATGAATCATCCATGGCATCGGCGCAAAGCCACACTGCCCGCAGCGCTGTATATAAAAGAGGGCGATTTCCTGTTCGTCGGAGAGTCGTTTATTTGTTAGATCCCTTTGGCTTCTTGATTGCCTGCCTACGGCGCGGCTATAGAGTCGTGAGTATAGCACATGGTATTCGCGGGCGGCTTCCGACAACTTTGCCACCTCACCACTATCGACAGCGGCGAGCGCAAGCTGAATTCGAGCTTCGACCTCTCCATAGGAGCCGTATCGGCTCATTTTGGCGTAAAATAGGTGTGCGCGGGCGACTTATCGGGGTCGGTTTAGTGGTTGTGGGATAATTTTGCACTGAGCTCGGTTTTTTCGTTGAGCCCGGGAGGGCCAAGGGTGACTACCCTTGGCGCGTGGGGCGAGTACGAAGGATGGTCCCTCGAAAGTTAACTTTAATATGCCACTTGTAATCCCCAGAACGATAAGTTATATCTTGAGATCGAAGGTGAGGTTCTGGATCGCCGTATCATTGAAAACCCTCATCTTCGTGATAATTTTTCGGGAGCGCATCGACCGGCATATTGAGAGTCTGCTCAAAGGGACGCGAGGTTCCGGAAGGCACCCGATGGACCCGAGAGTCTGCGAGGGCGTCAAGGAGGCCCTAGCGGAGAAGGGAAGTCGACTACGCGAGGGGAATCTCTGTGCCAGCGAATGAGGATGGACGAAAGATGGAACTTGGACGGATTTGTGTGCTTCCTGTGGTTTGTGGTAGAGCGTGACGGCTAGATAAGGTGGGACGTGTTGTGCTGCTTGACAGGCCGTGAATCGTCGGAACTTAGGGACAGTTCGGGATGGGGATACTCACGATAAGCTCCCTAGTGTATCCAGTTGCCAAAAACAGGAGAACTGGATCGAGGGCAGGAGGAGTGGGTATGCGAGGGCAGGAGGGCTGCATATCGGCCTCGTGCGAGCGTGGCAAATGCTTCTGGCGCACGGCCTCTCTTGGCACAGACTCGCCGCCGTGATGCGAGAGTTTCCTCCCTTTTGGCAGGACTCTATTGCGCAACCCGACTCTGAGCCCTCCCTCAAGGAAATTCTGTGATTCAGCAGCGCCGCTGGTTGCCGCATCATGGATAAGAACATCCAAACTTCGCCGCGAGCTTCCACTGTGACCACGCACACCCATTTCACTCTGATGGCTTTAGCTAATGACTTGGAGTCTAACTGGCCTTCAAGTACATCGTGCAGCTCCACATGCATCGCTCGGTTGCTTGCATTTTCGTGATGGTGAGAACGTTCTTCCTAGCTACCTCTGCTCCTTCGTTTCTATGACGATAAGAAGACTTGCATCAGACCTAGCATGTAGGTAATCACTAAACAGCCTGACTATTATGGCTATGACGCCGCCATTGTCGCCCTTAATTGCCGCTGTAAAGACATTACGCTTGGAAAGTTGGATCCAGCCCGCAAGAACGCTCTCTCACCGCCGTCGACGCCTGAGAACCACCCATCGCTGAAGCGGAAGCGTGCGACCTCCATGCCCTGTTCCTATACAATGTCGACGCGCACCACCGTTTCCCAAGCGTCCGAGACGCGATAGCGACACCGAAGTCCTGCCTACCCACAGCGTATCGGCAGCGGGAGCGGCCTCGAATGCGAGCGCGCTGATGCTCAATGAAAGGAATACCTTCAGTCTGCCCGGTAACCAAGCCGGCACCAGCAGTCCCCGTCGAGGCACCGCCGCCGCAGAGGGTGAGAGATGTCATGGAGCGGCTGAAAGACGGGCTAGACAGAGGTTGGATACCTGGCTGGCTATGGGAGCCGATCGAAGAAGACCTAGACTTTGGATACTAAAGGATTAGGTGTCGTGCGCGCCAGACGTAGGGGTCTTCGCTAACGGTGCGGTCGACAATGTTATACTCCTCGGTAGGTGAGGCCAAGAATTCATCATTGGGAAGTGTCAGAGCTGCCAGCCGCTCTTCCAATGTTCTATGACAGAAGGTTAGAGTGCTGTAGCCTATTTGTTTGCAGGTTGCTTCCGGCACCTCCTTTAGGAGCGCCTCCTCCTGCAGGCCTTGCTGTTCGATAACCTCCCGCACATCCCGCGCCAGCTCCTCCGCGTCGAACTGTCCCTGGATCCTGCCCTTGACCGTCTCCCGATGTCTCTTCTTCTGGAATATCCGCTCCGAGAGCGATAGGTAGGCGTCGATGCACTCGTCGATGCTCATTCTCCGCCGCCCGAGCATGACGGCGATGAGCCTGGGAAGTTAGCATACCCTTCTGCCGTCTCTGCGTGCAGCACTCACCCGCCAGTGCTCGTCCCGCCCATCATGTCAAAGTAGTCGCACGGCTCCGGCGGCGCGTCCGCGTTGACGGCCTCCATGAGCTGCCAGGAGGATCATCAGGGCGGACAGGCCGCGGACCCCGCCGCCGTCGAGCGCGAGCAGCCGGAGCTCGTTGTTGGGCATGGCTAGTGGGTGGCCGCCAGCGTAGGTGGAGGAGATGGTATGCTGCCGGGGCAGCGCCGCGAAAGGACGAGGTGCGTGGTTCGAATTATAGCGGTCGCATCAGGAGGGAACGGCTGAGCGCAGCCTTGACGCCGCAGCGCGTGCGGCTGGCCTGTGCCTGGCTCTCGGCAAAGGCCTGCTCCGAAAGCAGAAATCGGCCGTGCGAGGTCCAGCCAAGCCCTAGCCAGTTTTAACGAATTCCTTCTATCTACGACAAAACCAAGAATCGCTCAATCTTATAAGGAGTTCATACAAACGAAGTGTCTATATTCACATCATCGTATTGTAATGACCCATGGCGACTTCCACCCGAGGAACATCCTAGCAGAGCTTCATGATGGGCAGATTCTGGTAAAGGGTATTATTGATTGGGAGGCTGGAGGCGCATACCCAGAATACTGGGAGTACGTGAAATCCCTCAATACCATGTCTTCTGTTGAAGAAGATGATTGGTGGCGTTATTTGCCCGTGCTAGGGATGGGAGAGTATTGCAATGAATGGGCGGCGGACATGTTGCTTGAGACGCTAATTACATGAAATTCGACAAGATATCAATTGACGGCTCCAGGCCCCCCGCTCAGCTGAAACTCAAGCCTATGTATTGTATATAGATTCGAGCTAAACCTTGATTTTGTCGTAACTGTAGTCATTGATGATATCATCAAGATTTGCGCCTTCGAGTACTTCCATAACATATTCTTGACAATCCCAGCCTGCACTGTCTTTCCTGGGTTTACAACTTCGAGCAATTTGAGTGAAACCGGATCATCTGAGAGATATTGAACCCACGGAAGAGGAAAATCGACTCTAGCAGGGAGGTTCTAACAATTCCAATAGCAATTAAGGATGAGTATGGAGATGGAAATCATCTTTTTACTATCGGCCGGACCCAAGCACAAGTGCATTCCTCGACTTTCCTTAACTATCACGTGCGAGCGAAGGATGAATGTTTTTCCGGACGGGCCACGCAGCGGCCGAAAAAGGTCAGGTGCTCAGGCGTGGCTCTTGGCTCCATCGAGTTCCGCCACGTCTGCGCTTAACACACGACCATACCTTAGTCTCTCATTCCATAGCAATATAAATACGCCGTGCTTGCGAGCTGTGTTAAGCATCTTTCTACTAGCAGTACCGCTCTTCGCCTGCATCATGCCACTGCACACCCTTATACCTTTGAGCCAAGGCCTACAGGATCTCGCCGCAAGCGAGGCTCTAGAAGGGCGGTCCCGTGTACAAGCTCGGGGGAAAACAGTACTATATCAGTATACCCTCCCTACCGAGTTAGAAAAAAAGATCAGATCAGAAGTTTTCCGTTAGGCATGTAGAGAAGCTGTTAAATCACTAATTACTAACGTTCTATAGAACTCAGCGATAAAAGGGGCGATCACCGGGGCGATTGTGCACCCGCCAAAAACTGTAGGCTCGCCATTCCTACTTGAATCCGGAGAACTCGAGACTGGGCCAAGAGACATCGCCATCCTATTACCCTGGATACGATCCGATCCGCGCAAAAAAGCATACTTGGAGACAAAAGTATACTTGGAAACATGGAGAGGGGGAACTAATCGAGAGCAGACGGAGCTGCAGCCAGGCTTAGTTGTGATCCACCCCGGCGTCTGTTACGAAATGTCAAGTGTCCCCTTCGTTACTTACGTCTCTGATATTACTCCGGTCACCGAGCAGCAATAGTGCCTTGTGAATCTATACCCCACATTTGCCGCCATTCAGAATCTGCTTCTTCAACCACCATGTAATTTCCTAATTGTAGACGCCCATTCTCGTTGCCAGCACTGTCGCCAACCATGCTCAGAGTTTCCGAAGCAATGACCAGCTCTTGCTGGGTGTCCGTCGATGGAGCCCCAACCGATCTAGCAGTCTCGGGCGTGAAAAGTCGCCCGTCCGTTGCTTCGAGCCGGCGTCTTTTGTGAGGTTGCCATTCGCAAAACTGTGTTTCGGACTTGTCCGGGAGCTGGGTATTTCCCTTTGCCAGCGCCTCGAGCGACACATATTTTCGAAGCAAGTTGACAAGCCTGCTACTACTGGTGGGAAGCTCCTCGAGTCTACAGCCATATGCCCTCATGCCCTCAACGACTGTGACTACCGCGAGGTGGTTGGTATCCGCGAGGTGGTCGAGGTTTTGAGAGGGGGCTTCTTCATTCTTGTTCCAATAGTCACAGAGCAATTGGATGTCTTCGGTAGAGAGCTTCTCGAGGCTACAGCATGTCAGCCTTGCTGCTATCGTGGTATCGTATGACATACTCCCTACACGCAGCTCCCGTTTCTAATAAAGAGCCTAGGCCCCGCCTCTCCGCAAGCTCGAAATACACCTTCCTTCTTTTGTACCATTCTTTAATGGTGTCTTTTCCAACTTTACATTCGCCTGCAATGATATCCAGTGTTTTACTCTGGGCACCTTGTCCTTTCTGGAGCTTCACATGGGTCTGGACCCATTTCCTAAGCTGCTCGACTTCATGAGAACACAAAAGAAGCAGCGCGCGGATCCTGATGCGTGCCAGCTCTCCATCGATCTTGGATTTGTCCAAGCCCTTGAACAACTTTGTTCGTGGGCATGAACTTTCGGAATCGAATATAGGGTCTTGGGCGCCCCATATCGTCTTCAACTTGTCTTTAGGTGTAATTTTACCCCAACTAAAGGGCACTGTGGCCTTCACCAGACGATCGAGTCCTTCTCCCTTTAGCTTCTTCCCTTCAAAAAATTGGGTCGCAGACCGGCCTAGTTCCACCACTTTAGCGCCAGGCGGGATCTCGTCTGGTCTATTCGTTTTTCTGTCGCGAGGTCTGTATTTCGCGGGGATAAACTGCAGGCTTTGTTCCTTCGTCCCACGTTGAAAGAATTCTTGGAAGGTTTTTTCAGCAATCTTCTTGAAATTAGCTCGTAGCTTTCGTGAGTAGATCTGACCTACAGGTGATCCAACGAAATCAGAGGGCTTGAAGTGGTGCAATGCACGTAATAGACCGTCAACCGTGTGAGGGTTTACGACTTCCAGTCCATCAGCCTCGTGTGAGCTTACTATGGCCGTTTTTCGCGATGGCGGCCAGGAGATCCAGCGCTCTCCTCTGGTTGAAGAGGGGCGTGACGGATTGGGATCTCCGAGGGGACGTCCCCTCGGAAATCCCAATTCGTCCTAGTCACGCCCGCGCCACAACGCCTCCTCCCTGCCTTAGGCCCTACCTCAAGAGCACTAACGCACTTCCCCGCGACAATGCGCGCCAGCCAGCCGGGAATGCTAAAAGCAAAGAGCCCTGGCTTCAGCAAATATGGATTGCAAGCCGCCCGCCAAGTACTGATCTCGAAAAGCAAGAAGCAATTCTGAGCGGGCGTGCTCGCCCGGGATATATTATGCACTTCCTCTTGTTGGCGGAAGCCGCCATACGGCACCTGGCCGGAGGACTGGACCGTATGTTTACTGTTGAGGGTCACGTGTTGATCAGGTGATCACGCTAGCCTAGTGTATATAGCCACAGCTTTCAGCTCTCATACAATTAACAATGTTACACTCCACTTCGTTACTTCAACACCTCTCACAAGGCTGAGGCCTTCGTCCTTCACTCCTTGCCTTGCCGCCTTCACTGGTTGCCTTCCTGCACGTCTTTGTCACCTGCATTCTCCTTGCGTCGTGCCTCTGCTCTCTAGCACATGGATCTGTTGGAAATGAACGCCGTTCAAGCCGTGCATGGCAGTACTTCGCAGCCAAATCAGCCTCCTCTCAAATTAATGGTGATTGGTGCACGCAAAGTGGGAAAAACGGCATTAATCAAGAAGGTGCTTTCTGCAGGTGTTCGGCGTATTCGCCATAGTCTAACAGAGTTTCCAGTTCGTCGACGGCGAATTCCCCGTGTCCAATCCTACTACGAAGGAGGAGCGATGTAGAAAGTCAATCACACTTGAGAACCAGAAATATACTCTGGAGATCACCGACACAGGGAGTGGGGATACGTGGGAGGATCAAACGATAAAGGAGGCTCATGGATTCCTTTTAGTCTATGACCTCTGTAAGAAGTCGACGTTCGAGAAGATAGCAGAGCTACATGACAAGATACACAAGGCGGACGCAGAGGCTGCCGTTTTCGTGGTTGGAAACAAGTTGGATAGGAGCGACGAACGTGAGGTCTCCACAGAGGATGGAAGTAAAGAAGCCGAACGCTTGGGCTGCAAATTTGGGGAGGCCACAGGCAAGACCAACGTTGAGTGGGTGTTTTTGACCGTCGTTAAACTCGTCGTTCAACGCGCCATTAAACGCCGTGAATTGTCTTCATCCAGCAGGGATATGGGTGTGACTAGCGAAGGAGGGGCGGACAGTTGGTTTGAGACTTTGGCACTCTGTTTGGGAATAGATAGCATTGTCAAGCAATAGAAGCGTCCGCCAACCTGATTCTCATGGTGGAGTGGCTTTTGCTCTCCAGAAGGTTGGGATAAGGTCTCCAAAGGGTAGCAGACGTCTAGAGCTCACGCTCTGATTGCTTTTGGCTGGATCCGGCCGAAAATCTTTATCACCCTCCGAAAGCTTGGGCAATGAAGTGATCCGCCCAACGCAGCGGACAAAATTGGGAACTGTGATCCAAAACGGTATGATCCCTTCGGCTGTGGGAGAATGGATAAGCATATAAACAGAGCTTTTAGCCTTGCTACGCTGCTGCCTTCTTCTACGCCTCTCTCGTTGCCTTGTTTGCCTTCCATCTGCGCTGTGCAGCCTTATTCCCTCTTGGATGGTTTGCTCCAGTCGCCGACGTTAGCCAAAAGATCCATTTCCGGTAAAGTCGATTGTCCTACCCCCGCGAATGTGTTGTAAAAACTGAACGAGGCTGATTTCTGATGTTCCTAATTAGTAGTTCGTGAATCATGGCCACTAACGTGCTTCCTGTTGAAGTAGGCAATTGAGGAATACATCATGTGGGTGGTGAGTGTATTGTATTAAGTGTATATCGAGCTCGAGAAGTTGAGAAAATCTGTGGCGCCAGTGGCGCTAGTGCCCAATTAGGAAGCTTGGCGATTGATCTCCAACAGTCCTCCCAATCGTGAAGCTTTTGACTTATATACAGGGCTCTATACAGAGCTAGGATTTGGAGGTGAGCTTTTCTCAGAAGGCGGTTACCTCTACGGCACCATCGGAGTCGGATGAGTCGCCTGTAATAGCGAAGTTCATGACTGCGTGTTGAACGTCGTCTGTGAGTTTCTCCTTGCCCTTGTTCGTATCCTTGTCCTCCTCCTGGCCGCCCTGTAGACCCTGTTTATGGGCGTGAAGTAGGTGGCAATCGCGGAAGACGTGTCCTGTATAGTCGAAGTTGTGTTTCTTACACCAAGTACACCAAATTGGGTTTGGCGTGCGTTGGGTGGAGCTTTGGGAGCCGCCGCGGGGAGCTGGGGAGCCACGCGGGCGGCGGAAAGGTGCTTGAGCTGAGTAAGCTGTATAGGTGTCGGTATCGAGGGTGTATTTATCGGCGATATCGAGTATTTTGGGCTCCATGGCGGAAAACCTGGTGATATCCCGTGTGGAGAAGTTATCGATAACGTGGTCCAGAGTATCGGGGAGCGTCGAGAGGAAGAAAGAGCCCTTGACGTCGTCGGATTCGAATATAGGCTTCATGGATTTGGCGACAGCCTAATTTGACGATGAGCATTTCTTCTGGAGCTTTACCCAGAGCTGATGGAAAGTATTAGTGTGTAGCTTGAGGTCCTCGCCGTCGCGATATCTCAGGGAGGTGAGGGACCGAAACTGGTATATAGTGAGGTTTCCGGTATCGCGATCGAATTGCTCAGCCAGGTACGCCCATGCGCCCGCAGCGGATTCGCAAGAAGTCACCATCATAGTGAGGTCCTTATCGATGGAGCTGAGGAGCATGACCATAGCCTTTGTATCCTGCGCGTCGAAAGCTTTGGTATCGGAGCGTGTGGCACGTTTTTCAGTGCCGTTGATGACGTCCCAGAGCTCAGCGTATTTAAACGCGATCGTCCAAGCAGAGCGCCATTCAGCATAGTTATGGCCGGCGGATTCGAGCTTGGGCAGCTGGGAGGGGTCGAGCTTGAATGGAAGGCCATGCTGAGCTTTGTGGGCGAGCAGAGGCGTCCGTATTGGTGGGGGGGAGCGATCCGACGGATTTCGGAGTCGCTCTGTATCGTGGGCAGCGAGGGCCTATTCGGCGGCGACGAGGTGAGCAATCTGACGTCTTTCAGAGGTGCTCAGTCGTTGGGCGGCGGCGAGATAGGCGTCGGAGAGCCCGGGCTCATAACCTGTTGAAGTAGGCAATTGAGGAATACATCATGTGGGTGGTGAGTGTATTGTATTGTATTAAGTGTATATAGAGCTCGAGAAGTTGAGAAAATCTCTGTGGCGCCAGTGGCGCTAGTGCCCGATTACGAAGCTTGGCGATTGATCTCCAACACTTCCAACGCTTCCTCCGACCCCCTTCGACCCCGTTCCATTCGACTATCCATCCGGTCTTGGAACCCATCATTGGAACCATGGCCCAGCACAGGCTCGTCGGACAACCTGATTCCATAACAGACACCACGGTCGACTCTACGTATAATTCTGAGACGGGATTGTCCGGCGCATTGGCGGGAGCTCCGGATCGAGTCGCCGCTGAGGGCCCACCACCTTATCCGTCTCTGAATAGCTCTTCGGAGGTAAGCGGTCGAGAATGGAATTTTGAGTGGAGTATTTACTAGTGCCTAGGAATCTGAGGTGGTCTCGAAGTCATCTCGAGATTCACCCCCACCACCCCCTCCGCTGTCTTCGGGGCCCCCCCAAACGTCCACAAGCCCGCCTACCTCCGCACCCCTCCTTCAACACTCGGAAATTTGGAAAGCGGATGGCTTATATACGCTCCCTTTCTTCGGCTGTGAAGAACGAACCTACAGATTTTATCCTTTCCGTAAACACGTACATCTCAAAGCATTGGATCTGTATAAGAAACTCAGAACGTGCGCACCTCCTGAGCGATGGAGCGACCTATGTGGCAATGCTCTCACGTGTGGTCGCCCCACTGCACCAGATGGCCCACAGGTGAACATGGGGCCAGTTCTGGCTGGTGACGTCAACGAACTGCTGGACACGATGGAATGCAGCTACGTCCTGATTCTAAAAGCCAGATGCATGAAAAGTTTTGGAGACAGGGACGGATCCGCGCACCTGGACGGCGACTCGATATACCAATGGGTATCTTACGTGTCTCTGGAACATGCACAAGCAGGGGTAGTAGACTCCCTTCGTTCGGGCTACTCTATCGTAGGGAATTGGGTAGAACTCGACTTATCCAAAGCCAGTAGAGCGAAACGGGTGCGGCTTGTTGGCAAAAGAATTGTCGAGAAACGTCGCGTTTTTGCTGCTGTTGACGCTGCAGGTTTCACGGGATGGCGAGAGTGGATGCATCTTCTTTGCAGCATTTGTTAGAGCCGTTCGTAGTTAGCCGACAAAAGTTAACTCTCTTTCCCTTACCTTTCGCTCCGCACTTCTTAGCAGATCATGTATCACACACTAGGAGCTGTTGTAATGAGCCACGCCGACCCGCGCGTAGCCCATGTGGGAGCTATGCTATGATATTAACAAAGATTGGTCAACCACCATCCGCCACCACTAATCCATGCAGCCAGTATCAGTTAGCAGATCTATTTTCTTTTTATTATGGCGCACAAAGCCGACTAGATACGGAGTTAAAGCGCTGCGACTCAGTCGTGATATGTTCTGCATCCGCTCCCGCCGAGCAAGGTGACATAGCAGGCTTCGCATAAACTCGCGTAACAGTATGTCCAACTCCTGTTCGTGGCGATGTGGAGCGAATTGGACCGTTCAATTGGCTAACTTGGCGGTGTCAGAGGCTGGTTGCTTCTCGTAATATATACTGCGCGTCCTTCAGTCCGGGGCCCTCAGTTGCAACTGTTTGCCTTCTGCACGTTCTTACGCCCTGAGTGTTCGTGACCCCGCCCAATGCGTGGTTGATTGTTGTCCTTGCGCTTTACCTTGACATCCGGCCGATCACGCAGCCAGTCATGAATATTGACCTGCTTATAAATGGCTCCGAAGTCCAGTCTCCGAGACCTGTCGACACTTCAGGTCCCGTCCCACAGTTGACAACCCCGACTACCCATGACCCTAAACGACCAGTGGGTATCAACTCTCATAGATTATCATTGTCTCAGATTGAACGTTCCGCCTCTCAGGCACCACTTCTGGAGGAGCCACCAGCCAAGAAGCAGTTCGACTCCACGACAAGCAATTCCACGACAAGCAATTCGAGCTCCGCCTCGGTAACTTCTGTATCCACGGGCACGACGGAAACCTACACAACTTCAACGTACACACCCCCACCCAACCATGCCTGTTCGGCGTACCAACCGGCTTCCGCTGCGTCCATGCAGGGCGGGCCTGTCCTTCCAGCCATTGCAGAGCCTTATCGGCACCCACAGTTTCGGCCTCTCTACTCTGGAACTTCATTGAGCGCTACAATTCAGCCAGGCCCGCCGGGCACAAACGGATCGCCGCCGTCCCGAATGCTCAAACGCGCCGCATCTCAAATACCACTACCAGAGGAGTCGCCAGCCAAAAAGCACTCCAAGTGGACACTAGAGGAGGACAATCTAACCATCGAATTGCGTGGCTAGGGCATGAAATGGGATGGCATCGCCAAACGCCTGCCAGGCAGAAGCTCCATTTCGTGCCGTCTACGTTATCAAAATTACCTGGAGAAGCGCGCCGTCTGGGATGAAGAAAAGAAGAACAAGCTCGCGAGACTTTACGCTCGGTACGTAAAATCCTATTTGATTGTGGCATGTTACAGCTTCGTCGGCAATTACCATATTTATTTGAGCTGTTCCATATACTAATAATACATATTAGTTTCAAGGACCAGATGTGGCAGAAAGTGGCGACCGAAATGGGAATTCCATGGCGTTTAGCCAAGTCCATGCATTGGCAGCTTAGAGAACAGGAGATGAGCGCGCGTGCAAATGCTCCAATTTTTTAACTACATCCGTCGGCTACTTCTAGGAGCACACATGCAGGCGACACTACCAAACTAGAAGATATGCCTTTACAGAAGCTTGAATCACCGCGTCCGATTTCAGCCAAGGTCCGCCCCAGCGGCGTTCTAACGGTACCCGTACCCGACAATTGGCTGTCCATAAAGAAAGAAGAGGAGTCACAGCCGTCGGATGAATCGGTGGGCAGGAGGAGCGAGTAATACTTGCGCGTTTCCTAAAATACAGCGCCTCATGCACCATTAGTAGTGACAGTGTAACCTCTACCTTGTATTATTATCTTTTAGCCGCCCGTATATATAGAAGGCCGTGGGGTCGCTGCATATAATGGCGTATCAACTTGCGAATCAACCCAATTCTTTCCGCTTATCGACCAAGCACCTGCAACACTTTCCGGGACGCCGGGGGTTTCTGGTATACCTGTGCCGTTAGCCGTCCGTCCGGCCTCCGATCGGCTTCGCTGCAACATTCCCTTTGTATCCACTGGCTGTCTCTTATCTATCGTAAGCAGATAACCCAATGCTATGGGCAGATTATGCTGCTTGTATCAGATCCAATGAACTCTATTCGTGATCTCCTTAATTCGCCTATGATTGGGTGGCACTTCGTCACATCGTTGCCGCGCATCAATAAACAATATATATTCTCAGCCCGCGCAGCCTTCTCGTCTTCTTCTCACCTCCTACCGTATCATCTGGTTGTAGACAGTGGTATTAAAGGATATACATCAAAGACAAAGGATCAACACAAGGGTATCACCGTCCCATAAATCAATAAGGGCCATACTGATTGCGTCTTAGCGACTCGTCTCATAAATCCCCTCCCGGCGAAGCTCCGGTAGCGGCACAGGGCCTGCATCCCCCCAGCGAAAACCTTCGAAAACGTCCGAGCGACCAAGACATCAGTGCCGACAGGGAAAGAACTATAGAAATAGCCGAGAATAATGAAACCCGAAGTCAAGTAGCCTCAGCGAAATTGTCGCGTTCAACACAGAGCAATGTACATAAGGAACTCAGGATGAGGAGAAGGGATAAAGGCTCCAAAGAAGCAAAGGCACAAGAATCAAGTTCAACCAGCTCTCAGGAGGATGTCGTTCAGAAGTAGGCGCGTAGAGCTATGTGATGCAGGATCGAGCACGATCCGCAATTTGCATCAAATATAAAGGTACAACAAGCACTCATCAGTCAATCGTTCCATGACATGTCATTTGCCTGCAGCGAGCCCTGCTTGCTACGCAGAAGAAGATCAACATGAGCATCAGCTGCACAAAATTCCCGGCATATCATGCAAGCACCCCCAGGATTGCATCTTCCGGTCCACCACCTCCCCCGCCCTCTGGGCAGTCACCTCCGTGATGTCTTCTCAGCCCCCTATTCTTGTCGCCATCTATGCACGATTATGGTTCATGCGTCCTCTACCTGGTGGATTCGCTTCCCTTTCGCCGCATGCATGCGCCAGTTACACCTATCAGTAAATTAAGGATTGCACGGTGCAAGCCGCCGATAGACTGTGGCTAGATCCACCTCCGCTCGTACTGGCTGACCAAGGCGTTTGCAGTGCTTACCGGTGACCCATCTGGTAGAAGGTGTGGACTTGCCGTGCTAACTGCCATGCATGTTTGTCAAGGATGTTATTCACATGCTGCTAGCAAGAGGTACCGCAGATTGTGCATTCAGACTTGCAGCATACCATGAATATTGTGAGACAATGCAGCAGATACCGATCTCCGGCTTGCAGTAGCCGATATTACCCCACCCGGCGGCTTGCGGGAAGAGTCGCACTTCCAGCTACTTCAAGGGATGAGTTGTCGCTGTGGCCCTACTCCAATTTTCCCACCCTCAATTGTCATTAGGGTATAATCTCTATTTCTCACAAAATGGATTCCTTCGGGCGACCCCAACTGATAGAGTCGTCCGTCTTTGAGTACACGCATGCCTTAATCGTCGTCCTCTGCTATGTCGCAGTGTTGGTATACAGAGTCTGCGTATCTCAAGCACAAGTCAATCTACATGGGAGACGACGAAAACGGCTGGTTGCTATTACCATTATGATTGCCTCAAGCCATCTCGCAGAAGCAGTGTACTACGCCATTCGTCCCGCCCCATCAGTCCCTCAACCGACCATGTTCCACGCTATCAGTACGGCAATCGTGTGGACGGCCATGGCCCTCACGCTGCTCTCGAAGGAGCCGTGTTTGTTCGCATACGTTGGTGCCTTCGCCTCAGATGGCCTATTTCAAGTGGTTCTCTTCGTTTTGTTCAGGCGTTGGCACAGCATAAGAGTTGGCATATTTGCTGCGTCAGCATCGTACGTTTGGCACATCTCCCGTCTTTCCCGCGAGCAAGGCATTGTGGACCCGGAGACATTGCCACTTATTACGAATTCTAGTCCCGGACAAGATCAAATCAACACTTGGCCCGCCTTCAAGAAGTTCATCCTTCCCTGCCTTCGTCCTCGGGATGATCGCAAGTTCACATTTTGCGTCACCGTTAGATTTACCATCCTATTAGGAGGACGTTTCATAAACCTGGCAATACCCCGACAACTAGGCATTATTACGGACAGAATTGTCCCTCAGTCAGGTATTATGCCGTGGAAAGACATTGCTACGCTAGCTGGCTACTATTTACTTGATGGCGTATTGGATTGGGTTGATTCCTGCGCGAGCGCTTATATGCAATCCTCCGCTTATTTTCGGATCTCGTCGGTAGCCTTCTCACACGTCATGAGACTATCCACGGACTTTCATACCCGCGAAAATTCAGCCAATATCAACAAATCGATCGAACAAGCCCAATCGCTCGCTACTATAGTCGACGAGATTCTCTTCGGCCTTGTTCCAACGCTTTTGGACATTGCCGTTGCACTTGTGTATTTCGTGCCCAGGTTTGGTGCGTACATGGCTTTGCTAGTTGTCAGCTTCATACTATTCTACGGGCTCGTTGGATGCCTTGGCATAGAATGGGCCAGACCTAAGCGCACTCAATGGGGAGAAAACATTTCTCATCACAGTGGCTCCAAAATCTTGACGGCGGTGAGACGATAGCGCCTTATTGCGTATTCTTAGCTGCGAGACGTGTAGTTGGCCGTGCAAACTGTCGTTGTGAGCGCGGCTTTGCTGACTCATGAGCCGCCGACCAATCAGCAGCTCCGTGCTGTCACGGAAAGCGGTGGCACCCAAATCTGCGACAGCAAAACAACGCTGATTGGCCTTCGCGGACGGCCATGTGCTTGGCGTCCCATCCACATATTAGTGCTCTGGTCATCCCTCAGAAATTCACAATCTGCCATTCTTCAATATGTCCCTTGTCGTCGCCGACCTCAACGAATTGAAGAACCGAGCCGAAAATTTAGTCACCGAAATTTCTGAAGCGCTCTCATATTTGCTCTCGTATTCTCCCAACGCCATCCCGAATGTGCCTCCTGTCAGCAGGAAGAACAATGTTCGAAGGAAAAGAACGTACGACGAAAAGCAGATGCGCGACGAGCTCTTCACCCGTTTTTCGGTCCTGAAGGGTATCGTGGATAATGTAGTAGAGAGCCTGCGGCCAAGCGGAAATGATAACGGCGCCTGTTCTAGCCCGACGACCGCGCCAGACCCGACGACCGCGCCAGAAGCAACGAGCGCGCCAGACCCGACGAGCGCGTTAGATCCGACGAGCGCGCCAGAACCGACGAATGCGTCAGAACCGACGACCGCGCCAGACCCGACGACCGCGCCAGACCCGACGAGCGCGTTAGATCCGACGAGCGCGCCAGAACCGATGACCGTGCTAGATCCAACGAGCGCATCAGACTCGACGAGCGCGCCAGACCAGACGAGCGCGCCAGACCCGACTGTACCGAATCCGACAATACAGGAACCGCCCACACAAGATCCGCCCGCGCGAGAACCGCCCACCCAAGAACCGCCTACACAAGATCCGCCTACACAAGAACCATCCTTGCAGTTCGAGTGCGAGGCTAGTGATCTAGGAAAGAACATGACGTCTGTCATTGGCCACGCAATTGACACGTTAGGCAAAGCACGCGTAACCAAAGAAGGCCATCTTCTATGTAAAGTGCAATCATTACCCCAGACTGACTGGGCACGGCTACAGCAAAGGGCTAAGCCACGGGATGGTCAAATCCACGGGTTCTGCTTTGAAAAGGGAGATCGCCCAGGCGTCGCACACTCGCGCATAGCGGCAAGCACGCAATTCACGCAATTCACGCAATTCTCCCTCCCAAACTTCTCCACCTGCGAGACTTATGAATGCGCCGATCCCGAGCAGGGCTTCCAGCATATAGTTGACAACCCTCCCACCAAACCCCTAGGGTATTACGTCGGTGTTCCGTTCCACTCTCTCCCGTATACCGACCTCGTACATCCTGGCGAAAGGTTACAAAATCGTGGTGCGAGGGAGCTTCCGGGTATCAACACTGCCTATTGGTACATCAGTACTTGTTACGGCACGCCTGCCAACCTGCATATCGAGGACGGCAAAACAGGGTCTGTTAACCTCCTGGTTAAAGGCGCCCCAAAAGATTGGTTGTTTATCCTCCCAGGCAGTAAAGATAAATTAGAGAATGCTCTCAGGGAGGAATTTTCCTCTACCAAGCCTTGCTCTCAGTTCGCTCGGCATTTGGACATCTTACTCGCTCCAAGTTGGCTTCGTCAAAGGCGCATTCCATTCTCCGTGGTACGACAATATCCGGGAGAGATGATAGTCACCTTCCAAGATGCGTATCACCAAGTCATGAATTGTGGGCCAAATTTTGCAGTGGCTATCAATTTTGAGTTGGGTCAGTGGCCAGAGATACCGGAGAACTACCACTGGTGTCAGAAGGGCGTGACGCGCTGTGGTGAATACGCCTTAACAGGGCGCGAATTTCAGCTCACCAAGGAAATTACTTCGTCCATGTCTGCACTAGGCCTCCGACCTAAAATCGAGCGAAAGAAGCAAGAGATTGTACAGGTAGACGACGGATTGACAGACGACATACATAAACCACTCACTTTCTTACCCTTCGAAAAGCCAGACGCATTGGAGGACATTAAGACCCTCGTCAACCACGCCAAAGAGAAGCTCCGACCTGAACTGATAGGGTGCCAAACTGTTAACGAAGTAGCGACAATGGTGGAGCAATTCCTCCCAGGTAACTGGGTAAATGATTGTTTCTTACGCTTGCTTTTGGAAATTATTGGGAAAAGCCAGGGCTTCTATGTTGTCGAATCCCTCAACCTCTCACTATGGGCGCCGCAAGAGGAGCAAGTGCAGAAGGATCTCCAAAAGGGCTCTCGCGGACTGGTCTTCCCTTTCCATGTCAACTTTACAGCACCGTCCTCACCTTCGGCTCCTCTAAATCACTGGGTTGTTGGCATCTTCGATCGTCCTTCGATGAGCTTCGTTACCTTTGGGATAGAGGATGTCGAACTTGCAAAAAGATGGGTATTAGCTTTGGAAAAAGGTGTTGGGGAAGGGCACAAGATTGCACTTGTAGATCGAAAGGTCAGTAGCTCTGTAACCCCCCTTTCCCGAGCTAATCCAAGGTAGCCGCCCTCTAATCTCGACAATGGTTCTTGCGCTCTCGTGTGCTGCCTAGCGCTTGAATGGCACTTAGGACAGCACCCGTCTGAGGAGGAGCCCACCAGCCTTCGCAGTCGTTATCTACGTATACTTCTTCGCGCTGTGATGAGCTCAGATTACCACAGAGAACTTGTTGGCAACGCTATCAGCAACACCCTGCATTATCTTGACCCAGAATCGTCTCTTCAAGAATTTGACTCAGACGACGCAAGCCTACCTGTTCCGTTAAGCGACGAGGAAGCATTGCATCGGGATCTGGAACTTCTCGCTGACGCAGAGACAATCAAGACACTCAAATCAGCACTCGCAGACACGCACTGGCCATTACCACTCGCGAAGAAGGCGCGGATCCTCCAGATGATAATGCAATGCTCGTATGATGCCTTGGACCCTATCCAGTCTAGTTTAGACCCAGTAGATCCAGTCGGTATTATGAACGCTGATGAGCCTTGCGGGGATGCGAAGCCGACTATAGACCAGCTTCTCCAAAAGCTGGAAAATAACAAACGCAATTACCAACTTCCGGCTATCAAGGAGCGGACGCTTTACCTACAGATCGCCGTGACATTCAAGGAGGAGGTGGAGCAAGAAAAACGAACAATGCGTCAGGAGCAGACGCTGCGGAAGCGGTTGCGATCTCAAGGGCAGCAGCCCTCCCAGGGGCCCGTCGGACACGGAACATCACCCAAGACGAGGGTATTGAATCGGCTCGCCAACATATCTGAAGCGCGAAAACGTCTAACTCAGTATGTACAGCTTGGCAACAACCTACACTTCCTATCAAGTCGATTGTGCCCGGCGATACTGCTTTCATTTCCTGCGGACACTACGTTGGCCTGCGACTTCCAACTTCCTCTACCGTGGGCAGGAAAGAGGAACGGGCTGCAAATCCTCGCAAAGCGTCTCGATCCGAAATCGTACGTTGGCCCCTAGAGCTTCTCACGCAGCTGACAAGGTACAATAGGTACGACAGTTTAGATGGCTGCGATAAGGAGTACTTTGTAAAGTGGTTTCCTTTAGTCAGACTAGACCTGAAGAATCTCGACGGACTCGATTATCGGGTATTCAGCAAGCTTACAGATAAGCTGTCAGCGTTGGATCGCGCAAGCATAACGAATCAGATACGGAAAATAACCTCCAAGAGGCCCAAGGAACAGCTAAAAAGAGCGGGGAAGAAACAGAAGCGTTGAGACTCGATGTTCGCAGCACGTTCGCTGAGGGGGATAGTTGATTAGGAAAGGATGACAGTGTCAGTTGCCAGAGAAGATCTCCGCTCTTCTCTTGCCGTTAGATCGTCGTTTCTAGCTTGCATATACCGTGTATACAAACTCCTACATAATTCAGCTACTAACTTCTATGCGGCGTTGCCTATAAACCGGTTCGGTCCATGTTCAAAAGTTAATCAGTAAAAATGTCCATCGACCCACCCTTGGCAACGCTAGCCCTACTTACAATGTATATATTAAGTGCTTAAATCTCCCAAATAGCCATTGTTCCTTCTACAACTTTCACCTCATATAGGTGCTCCAGTTAAACTTTGCTCGTTCACTTCGGCCTCCTAACGCAATTGTGCCACATACATACTTTTCCCATTACACACAGAACTCCGCACCATCTTCTATCGAAATACGCTTATCGACAACATGTGCGAAGTCCTGATTACAAAGACACGATATCAAAAGTGCACGAATACGCCAAAACACACAGGCGAGGACGAGGTCGACAATGTGCAGCACAATCCTCCTTGCCCTCAACCTTGGACGAAAAAGGCACAGGGGCTCCGTACTGACCGTATGAGCAACTGTCCATTCTGCTCTGCAACTAGCAACGGCGCTTAAGTTCGTTTGGTAAGGGCATTGACAGGTCTTAGCGACACATTCGCTAACGAGACATAGATACGGCTATTAAGTTTGCTCCTCTAACGCTACAAGGTCTCTCAAGCACTCGGCAGCACTTTGATAAACTTGAAACCAGCATTTGTAGATGATCTCACCGGCTATAACGGTATTCGTAGCGGGGAACTCAGCACGCTCGTAACGTCCACGAATCTCTTCCTCGTCATCAAAGCTATCCAGCTCGGGAAAAGGCTCGTGTCCAGTTATGATCTCGTAGAAGGTGGAACCAAGGGCAAAGATATCCGATCTGTTGGGAATTATTAGTATAGTAGAAGAAGATTATTGCTGGCTTCGAACCTTTCGGTATCCTGACCAATAGGACGGGGCAGGCATGACTTAACGGGCTCTAGTGCGGAGCCGTCAAGGATCGTTGATCCAGTAGATGGATCGTTAAGACGTCCTTGAAAATCCGAGAGCTTAACGTCGAGATTACCATCTAGTAGAAGGTTGTCGGTCGAGATATTACAGTGAATGATAAACTTCGAGTGAGCGTACTTGATGGCTTCGGCCGTTTGTCGACACCAGATAATTCTCTGCCTCGCTGAAAGCGCCATCACCGACTCCAGGGCGCCTCTAACAGTTCCATTCGGTGCGAATTCGAGTTTGAGACCGCGGTCATCGAGACCAAAGCACGTAAGAATTCTAGGATAGCTCCCAAGAATACTGTATATTTTCCATTCAGCAACAATATACTCCCAATCTCTTCCCTGGACGTGCGGGTATTTGAGCACCGTGCGATCGTCCAGAAAGCCTATGTAACAAGAGCCCCCAAGTGCACAAGGCGCCTTTACTCCTTCAGGAGCGTGGTAATGGACCCTTCTGGAGAACATTGAGCGAAATGTCGGCGTTTACGGCGGGCGGGGGAGGGCGAAGACGCTTTCGGCGGGCATGAGCAATGAGCAGGCAAGCGCAGTCCGCTTTGATTTTGCGGGGAGGTGATGCTATGCAATTCGAGAGCTCGTTGGTGCGGGACGTTGTTACGGATGAATTGGTGCGGACGTGCGGTGCGGGCGGAGGCGCGACCCCACCAGGCGCCGGCGTACCGCGCGGATCTGTGGAGCCGAGGAGCAGTCCGGCCAGCCTCCTTGCGGCACCCCAGCGTGCCCAGCTCTCGCGTCAAGCAAAAAGTGGGGCAGTGGGGCCCGAGCGCCGGAGCCGCGGGGGATAGGAGAGGAAACTAATAGCCGCGCGTCTCGCATTCGAAGCGCTTCCCATCCACCGCTCAATGTGAAGAGTACTATATCCTGACCTTATAAATATCTCGACCTCAGCTGGCTAAGTGTGCTCATACGGCCATGCTGGATATTGCTGAGTAACGCTTCTTCAAGAGCTGACTGGCTTATACCTGCGTCTAGGTCCGTGATTGTCAGCATTATCTAGAATATTGAGGCGCACTTGCTGAAGATGTGCAAAAGACGATGATAGGAAACATTCAGCGCATACCGTCTATATCACTGAAGCTACTGCCTATGCTTGGTGTACCTTCACTTCCATCTTTCCTTGACTTGACTCCAGCTTTTCGAGGACTGAGCTTCGCTAGCTCAGCCCTATGTGTTGGACTCAACGGGCCAGGACTCATAGAGGTCCCCTTCGGTGCGTCGCTCGCGGAGCTCGTCACCGATGAACTAGCGTCTACTCCTGATATAGGCCCACGCCTATCCTGTCCTCCTCTAGATGCTGAAGCCGCATGAGCTACTATTCCCACACTTGTAGCGCCTTTGTCTGCCCTCGAGGCATTTGCAAACGGCAGTAGATTGTTCGTCCCGCGATCCGGCTCATCCCCTTCATCCACTCCATCAGGATCAGGAAGGAGCTCCCGTGGCCGCTGGCTTCGAAATCGGGGTGGGCGCTTGAACAGTTGGCTTCGGGTTGCAAGGTTATCGGTCTCTGAGTCCGATGGGGACGAGCAGCTTGAAGACGACGGAAGGGGAGCTGATGAATCCACATGGATAGACTTCTGCATGTCCCCTGTCGCTGGCCAGTCGGGGCCAAGTTGTTCTACTTGTTTTGGGATTTCCATATTTCGCCGAGCTCGCGGTGGCGGGTTCCGAACAGGTGCTTGCTGGGTATGTGCTCTGGATTGGGTGATCGTGTTGGTTGAGGGTGTCCGTGAGAGAGGCGGGGCTAAATATACTTAATACTCATGTCAGATACGATGGACGACGTCGCTTACCGGGTGTGCTTGTTTCTCCTCGGGGTAAGGGACTCTCCCTGGGCAGTAAAGATAAGGCAGATGGCGCTCTGGAGGCTACCTTGGATTAAAAGGGTGCTTGGAAGTAGTGACCTGGACTAACCTCCTGATCCTCCACTCCCAACCCTTCTCATTGCAATACCAGCCATGGGTGCGTGCGTACTCCCAGGATTGAACGTCGCAGGCGAGCTGGTACCGCCGACTTTCTTCATTTGAGCACGAACATGGTCCAAGTGCCGTTCATATAACCACGCCGCTTGCTGGAGAATAAAAGCTGGAGGCACGTTGAAATTGCCTGCACTAACTCTTTCATCAGTCTTTGCAGCCCTTAAGGCGCGAACAGCTCGTACAGCTCAACCCCTGTTGCAAATCAATGTGGGCCTCGTTTCCCGGGCAGAACAATACTTACAGTTAAGATCGCTTGTTTTAGATGACTTGGAAATCACTTTCCAAAGAGATCGATCTTTTGCACTGTCCCAGGAAGCCTACGGCGTCTGGTTCAGCGTCCAACGGGCAAAGCGGGGTGGGACGATATTACCTGTTGAGGGTCCACGAAATCGCCTCGACGGAAAGGCACCCGTATTAGGGTTGTAAACTGGATACTGGACATCTCGGCTCTGACAGTTTATTAGACGTAGAGAGTCCGCAGACAGCTGGGGGTAAGTGTCGCGCGAATTTGGGAGTGGGGGAAGTTGAATCTGGATTAGCGAGCATGTGCCAAGAGCCAAGGTGTTTGGCGTGAGTAAGTCCACGTGGCCGTCCGCCTATCACTCTGCGCGTAAATGGCTTCCTGTATCATCGCCTTTTGTTTGCGCAGAGGGTACTATATTCTATTAAAGAAATAATAGTTCTAGTTAGCGCTAAAGGCTACGCGATATAATTACACTGTAATTTAATTTCTGTAAGCCTAGCTGATCCTGTGGCTGGTAAGCCTGTGGCTGCGCGGGAATCAGCGCACGTGCCGGATAACGCTCGTATCAGCAATCGAAGCGCTGACTGATCCTCACGATGAAGCCGCACGACGCTCCAGCACAGCGACGACCGCCGTCTCCACCACCCCAGAGTGTATCGGAATCCATCCGGTACCAGCTTACGATACCGTTACAAGTGCGACGAGCTGCCGGCAGCACGCCCGCGTTGTCGCTCTCCGCACGCCTGGCTGCGACCGCTCCTCTCTCGAACGCGGCCGCTTTCTTGGGCTTATCCAAGGAGATCTCTGACATTGTTCGATCGTCTGAGTGCAATGTCTGCCACACCCAAATTGCAAGGAATCGTTAGCTGAATTTTATAGAGAAAACCCACGACGGCAAACACCACGACTGTACCGCATCGCTCGACACGAAGTCCATATAGCATCCGCTTGCGACTCCTGGATGCCTATATGCGCTTTGACGCCCTCTGTATACTCTTATTACACCTTCCTCAGCTCTTGCCGTGTGCGGGACTTGCTCTCTAGGGACATGGCCAGCGCTGAGAGCCCTCACATTGAATCGCGATTGAGAAAACAAGCACTCCGGCTTCTCACGTTGACAGTCACCAAGCTAGCAACCCAGAGATGCCTTAGAAAGCTCTTTACACACTCCGGCGGTGCCATATTCTATCTCAACTTCTGTATCAAATTTGGAGACTCTGTGACCCTCGCGGAAGCAAACGCACTTCGATTCATCGCAAAGCACACCTCCATTCCTGTACCAAGAGTTTACCATGCCTTCACACACCAGGGCAGGACTTATCTACTTATGGAAAGGATTCGTGGCGAGACTATAGCAAAGAGGTGGCATTCGCTTTCGGACACGTCAAAGTCGTTGGTTTTCAGCCAGCTCAAACGGATGATCGAAGAACTCCGGTCTATACCTTCCCAGGTTAGCAGCGTCTCCAATTTGGAGGGTGGTCCAATTTACGATTGTCGGCTTCCTCGGACATCTTCCTGGGGACCTTTCGGCACCTTATCCGACTTCCACTTGGCACTTAGGAATGATGTGACTCTTGAATCCCTCAAAGCACAAAGTCACAATTTACTAAGTCCCGCTGCTATTTCCGATATAACAAGACTCGTCGTGTTCCATGAGTCTGTGATACGTCCACCAGTCCTCACGCACGGTGATTTGAGCAGCTTTAATATACTTCTCCGCGACGACAAAGTAGTCGGTATTATTGACTGGGAAACTGCGGGGTGGCTACCTTATTATTGGGAGTACACAACGGCATGGCATGCCAATCCCCAAAACTACTTCTGGCAGAAAGAAGTGGGCAACTTTTTAGAGCCACAGGAAGAAGAATTGAGTATGGAGAGAATTAGGCGTACGTACTTTGGGGAAATATAATTGCCTCTATCGTTTCCTTTAAGTGATCAATTCTTTTCCCTCCATTGCGTCCCACGTCGGTACCCTGCCTTGATCAAACTGCCCTTGTCCGTCGAACCGATGTTCAGCGGCCTTCTTCGCAACGTACCACATGGCAGTATTCCTCACATACGTCTACTTAGTATGTGCCGATCTGTGAAGGAGCAATATTGACAAGAGAGAAGATTGCTAGCTGTCTATGTGGCTGTGATGAAACCTCATGCAACACTTCAAGCCACTAAGGAATTTATGCCGTTGGTGTTCTGGGAGCCTCGAACGTTACGCACAGCCACAGCTGTAAATGCGAGGCCGCTGGAAAATACAATATATATACCGTGGGGGACATTATTTACGCATCTTCACCATACCTCGAACCCGATTGTCTCACAGCACCTTCAAACATCGATCTTTACTTCCTAACCTTGCAATGCCATCTACTCTTCACCCGAACCCCCACCTACCTCTCAAGAGGGCCTTTACCAGCAAAATCCCCAGCCCGCTTTCTAAAGACGACGAACTCACCCAGGAGATGCCTCGCAGTCATATTGATTTCCCAGTCTTCGGCGACGAAGAGTCTCCAACCGAGCCTAACACTCCATCTGAATGCAGCATCCCTGACACGCAGGCCCCTGAATCACAACTGTCCGCTCAGCCAGAACAAGATGAGAAGCTCGACGAAGATGATGTCAATCCAGAACGAAGTCTTGATTCCGAAGAACCTGGAGAGATAGGTGAAGAGGAGCAGAACAGCGATAAAGTGAAAGCCGCCATGGTTCAGCAACTCTTTGACATGGAGGAAAATGATAAGGGGAGCGAGGACAGCATGATTCCTGCTCCAATGGATGGTGACGTCGAATTCGACTCAGATGATGAGACGGCAGTTGAGTTCGCCGACGACGACTCGGAATTGGACTTGGGAGGCGAGCTTCCAGATAACCGCGCTCCCTTGGTGGATGCCGTTGCTGGACCACCCAAGACTCCACCCAAGACCGCGACACGCAACAAGCCCGCTCCTCCCAAACGAGATGAGACTGAGCTCTCCCCTGGTATAGAGGACTCACAGCCCAGCGCTCAAGGTTAGTAACCCTTAACCACAATGATCCCCAACCCAATACTGAGTCAAGATACAGATGCACAAGACCACTGCAAGAATGACCACCCCACCACCCACCCCACCACCCAGCCACAGCCACAGCCACAGCCACAGCCACAGCCACAGCCTCGCCAAGCCTCCTGCCCTATTTTTCTCTTCATAATCCCATCGCCGCCCACACCCACCTGCTCACCTGCCTGCATCCTTTGTCTTCACTCACCTCTCACCTCTCCCTCGTCTTCATCACACTCGCCTCTCGCCTCCCATCTCCCATCTCCCATACCCAACGACAATTCCTCCATGTTCGGTGCGCGAGGGCCTGGGTTGGCACGGGCTCATAGATCCCCACTGCGGTACGGTTGTTCTGTGCTGCGGACCGCGAAAGAGTCGTGAAGAGTCGCAGGATATCATGCGATTGGCTAATTATATTTAGCGTCGCTTGGCGGGTGCAGCGCAGGCAGGCATTGTTTCATCCCTTCCGAGTGGGATATAAACAGGCTGAGGGGCCATCTCTCCGTTTCCCTCTCTCCGCCCCCATTTAGCATCACGTGCTTTTCCTGCTTCACCTCCATTCCACTCTTCAGCGTCAGGACCTTGGTCAACAATCTCGTTAAGCGATAGACCTCAAGAATCCGTATAAACATGGCGTCGAAGCCGCAGACTACCAGGACGTTGGGTGCCACCACCTTCACCAAGGCTATCAAACCGGGGCCGGTATTCAACAATTACGGTGTGGATGTTAGCAAAAAGTGGGCTCAAGAACGTATACAAAACGAAGTTACTGCACTACAGTTCATCGCGGCGAACACGACGATCCCAGTTCCCAGATTCCTCGACACGGGGATCGGGGAAAATGGCCCGTACCTGACGGTACAGCGTGTCGATGGCATCGAGCTCACCAACGTCGCGAAAGAATGCCGTCATCAGACTGTAAATTGCACGGCCTGCCAAGCCATAGCGAACCAGAATACCACCACCTTCATTAAGACCATAGTGCTCCCGCAGCTCGCCGCGCTCAAATCCAATCAGTCTGGGCTCAATGGATTGGTCATCCCCCCCCCTTGGGTGACTGAGGAGGACAGAAGGGCGACTTGGCCGTCGAAGATGTCTGCAACAGCAGAATTTGAGTTCTGGCATGGCGATCTGGGAGGCCATAACATCATGTGCGATAGGGACACGTTGCAGGTCATCTGTCTATTTGACTGGGAAAATGCAGGTTACTATCCTCCGGAATTTAAACTATGGTCCGTTGACTGGCCCGGGTTTGATGCCCTGTTCACAGATAAGAACAGACTTGCGAAGCTCATACGCCTCCTCGAGCCGTACTAAGCTTCTCTATAGCCGTAGAATGTATTCAGGTCAGAATGTATCTATAATGTCATAAAGAAAGATAGATACATTGCATTTTCGGTTCCGATATTCCATTCTCATTCTTGACATCTCAAAACCTTCTTCCATTTGTCGTGGCAGATAGCCATCCTGACCAAAGAGCTGACTTGACGGCGGGACAGCCTTAGACCATGCCGGTACGGTGGATGATTAACGAAGGGATTTATTGCAGTTGGTGCATTTATGCTGCGAAGCATTCTGAACTGTATAGCTGCAGTGCGGGCACTTTGCTTTCTTGCAGTTGCAGGTCGAGTCGGTGCATGCGTCTCGGATAGCCTTGTCGCAGCTGGTGCATTTGTAAGTCGATTCACCCTGATCAGAGTCGCAGTGAGTGCACAGAGGCATGGCTGAGGATGATGTAGGGTTTGGAAAGATGGTCCGATGCGGGAGTAGTTTGGTTGGACTTGGGTGATTGTGAAGGATGTATTTCACTGAGTTGTGGAATGAAACAGTTGGATGAAGAATGTCGGCGGCTTCTTATACTCAGGGGGACATGGTGATAACGTCCTCTGCTTATCAAGACAACGATGCGCAAATATCTGCCGTGATGAACTCATGAACTTCGTGCAGTTCCTCTGCATATTCAGTTCAGTCTTACATTGCATGTGCATGCAGTTGGATGCCTTTCGAACGCGTCCTCTCATCGATGAAGACTTTCTCGGACGAGTGTGCTCAGTCAATCCAATCATTCGCTATCAGGGGGTTCATGATAGCTCTGTGGTGGTGTTGACGATTTAGCAGCCCTTTTCATAACTGGTGCCCGCTTCCTCCACGTCACTGCTGCCCCAACTGATATTACAGGAAGGATTTATCAGAAGCTTCACGTATGCATGTTGAAACAAGCACGATCGGCTATAAGAGTCTTTCGTACGAGAAGTCGTGATTGGTCAGGCCAAGCAGAGGAGGTCAAACTAGCTAATATAGAGGATTCTATGAGGAGAGAATCCCGCTCTTTATGCAATGCATGATGCGCCTGCATGCGCCTCCTGACCCAGAGTGCTGGATTTCTCACCTGAGGATTTGCACCTGCCGACATTGCGGGCTACTGGATGTCTAGTCGAACAGAGATTGAGCATGGCAGCAAGTGGGTTAAAGCCTAATCAGCTCGAACCGCCGAGGAGACAGACTCCGGCCCGCTAAGGAAAGCACCACCTCTTCGTCCCTTCCGTCCATAGAAGGTGAGCATGACTGCAAAGAAGGGGCGGAAGAATTTGACACAATCCCATCACTGGCTCAAGCGGTGGTGCAAAAATGTTTAAAAGAGTGACTAGCGGTTGTTCATTAGGTACTAGACCCTTCGTCGCCATTGTTGAAGTAGGCAATTGAGGAATACATCATGTGGGTTGAGGTGTATTGTATTAAGTGTATATAGCTCCGAGAAATCGAAGAAATCTCTGTGGCGCCAGTGACGCTAGTACCCGATTAGGAAGCTTGGCGATTGTACTCCAACAGCCATTGCCCGTCTCCCTTACGGCAGCATCCCCTCAGCACCCCGATGCCTCTCGTCGCAAAGCCCTCGTCCCGCGCAAAGCCGTCTCAGTCCAAGAAGCGGCGCCTCCGAGCAGCGGCCCTCGAGTCGTCCCCCTCGGCGGGAAACCGTACCGCACTAGTCCTAGTCTGGTCCACAACATACCCTTCATCGGCGGCTAGCGCATCCACCTCCGAGCAGCCGACGACCATAATCCCAACGACCTTATACGTAAGGGTGCGCTTGGAGCGGATGGCTTTGACCACAAGGCCATCGCCTAGGGAACCAAAGCCAGGCATCTCGATATTCTCATACGGTCATGACGTGCGAGCCCATCGGCACCGGCCTCGTCCAAGGCTCCACGCGAGCTCCGCTCCGAGATGGTTAGCTACGCTCCCATGCCGACCGACAAGCCACACATCTTCCGAGGACGACTTGCTCCGGGAGGTGCGCCGCCTTGCCCTCTGATATCACCTGGGCAGTTGGCCGTCTATGATGGCACTACGACGGGCACGGGAGACGGCGAAGGAATAGGCAGCATACGCAGCAGCTACGACGATGTGCACAAGCAGCTGCTTAGGCACTGCTCGTTCTTCGCAGAGCGCAGCCCGCACAGCATTGACTTCCTGCTCGAGCACGTCACCTACGCGGAGATGAGGAGCTTGATCGAGAGCTGTTCCCCTTCCTTCGCTTCCCCTCCGCCGAGCCCTATGCAGCTGGACATGGGCCCTGCGACGACGACCCCGCCGACCTCAACCGCCCCTCTCGCCCGACTTTCGAGCTTTCGTCCAGGTCAGGTTGGTCGGCGAGCCGATCGAGTTTCCCGGCTCGGGCACCGTCGCCGTCTCCTTCCGGTGCGTCAGCGACGACTTCCACGTCAACGAGCGCGTGAATCTCGTGTGACTCCATCGGCAGCCGTCACGCTTCTTCGTTTTCAAGAAGGACCAGGAAGACACCAAGGGGCGTCCAGAGCCCGTGTACGTCGCCGGCAGCGTCCGCGGCGCAGACCTAGACCGGCTGTGCCACACCCCCGACAGGTGGCAGGATGACTACCATAATACAATGCAGTTGTGGCTCACTCGCTAGGCGGGCGGCGAGTACCTTGGGGGTTGCCAGGTGTCCAGAGAGTGGCAGCGGTGTGGTTGACCATTACCGGTGCCGGGCAGACAACCACGGCGGACATGGCAACTGAGATGACCAGACGACCGGCCAACCTCGCGCCGTGGTCTCCGGTGCAGCGAGGATACTTCGAGAAACGCCTTTTAAGCCTCCTCTCCCGCGCCAGCTCCATGAGCCCCCCTGACTCCTTCATCCCTGGTAATCCAGCATGTGTCCCTCTTTCTTTCGCCGATCTGCTGTTGCGTGTCGGGCACTCTCTTAATGTGCGGCTCTCATTGCCGGAATAATCGTGGCGTGTTTTCATTTGCAACCAGGAACCCCGACATAGGCCCTAGCTCCTCCTTCAGCACGTCGTCGACGTATTTGCGGTGTTCGGTTGTCATCGGGCTCCTTGTTGAGGACCGCTCTGAGAAGGGATATAACACGTTCGAGGTCGAAGTCGTCGGCGTTGTCGTAAGTTTTAACAAATCTCCCAGGAGATTCGTGCCGCCACGGCTTGAGGGTAGATGACGAGAGGTAGGAAGAGATTGCAGAGCGGAGAGAAGAGCGACTAATAGATCCTGGGTTTCTGTGTGCGCGTTAGATGTGCACCAGGCCTCAGACTATCGGCTTAGGGTGCAAAAAGCAGTGGAAGATTTGTCAGGTTAATGGGCAATGGAGATTGTGCACAGAATGTAAAGATCACCCTGGGCCGGATGGAACTGAACCGAATGGGTGGATTCGAGAAAACGCGGCAAACCACCCACTCTAAGAGCCCACACAACGAAGCCACTCTATAAGGTGAATGGTGAATCAAGGATCCAGATGACAAACGCCCAGCGTTCTTGATAGGACGACGCTACGAATTCCATTCGCCGTTATGTGTTTCGATTTCTCCGTGTCTCCCCCATATGTTGGCCAGGTTGCGTCCAACACGCCAGGTAGAAGGCTCCTTTGAGTCGAATGATGCCATCAATGCCATCGAACCTGACTTGCTTCTCTAACACTCAGAGTTCTACCCGTGTCGCCGCACGATGACCCGCCTTGAATGAGCCGACTGGTTGTTTCGTCCAGGTCTCGCGTGTCGCGCTAGTTAAGAACCTCGAGCTATCGGGTGTGCGGAATAGGTCTTCGTGGAAGAGGCCTTAACCTCTTGTAGGGGGGAAGCAGCTACGTGGAATGAAGGCGAGGGCGAGAAGCGCGACAGGATAGGTTTTGTTGATCGAAGGAGCTTAGAGGGCTTGACCTTGATGCCGGAGAACACGGCCGTGGTCTTGATGAAGACGTCGGTTATGTGGCTGACACACTTACTTCCGTATAGAGATTCGAAGGGCGATGCGTCGTGCGAGTAGGAGAGGGTGTAATCGGCTTTTCGGTCAAGGGCGCGTCGCGGACGTATCCGGCAAGGAGCGCGAGAGGAACTCGAAGTTGATGTTCTGGGATTGCCTGCCAAATTAAGCGCGTTAGCTTGCCAGTGCTTCAAGTAGGTCGGGTGGGGTAGAAGTACACGCTCTGAACATAGAGTTTGCCCTTGGCGTATAGCCGGAGCGCCAGCCTGACTATCGACCTGACCACATCGTCGCACCACGCATTCTCGTCGCCGCTCCCCGTCTGGCAATAGAACGCTGTCCTGGATATTTTCTTCACCTTCCTTAGTGTATATTTTAACTCAGCACGTACGGCGGGGTCGAGGTTGGGGCTAGAGAGGTTGCGCGTGGCGGTCTTGCTAAAGGCGGCAGGCTTAAGTCTTTGGAAGCCAATGTGTATCGGCTTTGATTGCTTTCTGTGATATGTTAGCCGGCTTGGGCGGTAGAAGGCTGCATGAAATACGGACCTCGAGCCACCCTAGGTATCTAGCCTTGGTCCAGCCATCACCCGCGCAGGTCCAGATTCTACCCTGTCCAGCGGTTCTGTTGTGATTGGAGGCGATGCAACTCACTCTCGGTGCCGCAATCGTCTCGCGCGATGGGCTATTTCCGCGCCGTGGTGTTGAGGCGCCTACGCGACTACCGGGCGGGCTGAAGGTGTTGGAATTGCCCAAGGTGAGCGGACATGGCTGTGAGCTGGTGCTGGTGTACGGCTGCGGGCTCGGAGCTGGCGCGCTTGCGCTTCAGCGGCCAGTGTTCTTCGTCGGCGGGCGGTGTCGGCGGGAGCTGTTCGAGCCAGGAGGAAACTCGTGTCGTCTTTTCGGTGAATTATAAGCGCTAGCCTTGGAGCACGGTCCATTTTGCCAAGTAATCAGACGCCAAGTTTTCACCGACCGCCTCCTCACCGTCCATCACGAGTCCCAAGTTCTCAAACATAACCGTACAGCTCATGCCTGCCCGCATGAATCGCGAAGCTGCGGCCGTAGTGCAAAATTACTTTGGTGCGTAGGCGCTGCGAGAAGCGACACCAGATTAACGTTTCACAGCCGCCGCCGCTATACCAATCACACCACCGTCCTCTTCCGGAGGTGTTTATCACTGCAACATCGAATATCATGGACAACTGTACTCATTATCCTGGACCGGAGATCCACAGTACCCAGACCTATCGAGTTTTCCATCCATTTTGGCAGGCGAGCTGTGTCTTGTAAAGCAAAGCCCCAAAATGCTCGATTTAAAGAGACGCTCTGCCTTTGTAGCTGCTGGTGCCCACGCCTCAGTTCGCCGCCTTCCGTCATCGGCTTTCCCAATGGTCAAGCTAGCGCATCCGGACGAGTTCTCAGCGGCTCTCATTCGACGTGAATACGAAATGATCAAACGGCTTTCGCAACTAGCTCTACCCGTTCCAGACATATTCGAGGCCCCGATCTTCGAGAATAGCAGGATTTGTGGCTACCGAATGGAGGAACTCCATAACATAAGCTATGAAGAGATGCAGAACCTTTCGAGGGAAATTAGAATGGCAGTCGCAGAGCTTCATCAAGCTGGCTACTCCCACGGAGATTTGAGTCCAAGCAATGTAATGAAGAATAATCACGGGCGCATTATTCTCATCGACGTTAGCTTCAGTGGGCGGCTAGATGAGCAAATCCCTTCGTGGTTTCCGACCTGGGTTTACGACGGTGCTACGTTTAGGAAAGACTGTGATCTAAAACGGTTGGAAAATTACTGGGCATGAGCAAGTTCTTCGACATTCGCAAACGCGGCAGCCAAAGGCAGTCAAGCGAAAACAGGGGAGTCTGGTCTCATGTGAAGCAAATGGCTTGTTCTTCTCGAACAAACGAAAGCAGGGCATCGATGGCGCTGAGAAGAGCCCGCTGCATCAGGATTGCGAGATTGTGAAAGGAGAGTTTGACGCACCTGAGTGCGGAAACGTCCGGGAGATTCGGCCTCGGGCGCTGTTCCAAATCGTGGCCTCTCATCCGATGTGCCTTTTCTGCATAGGGAATGAAGAGTTCTCGTACGAGCGGAGGATGCGCTGTATTCCACGAAAGGACGTCCTGAAGAAGCATGTGGAGACGCATTTCCGACTCGCTGAGCTTCAATCGGAATTCCAATGCCGCCATCCTAGTTGTTCTGACAGATTGGTGGGTATGATGCATTTCAAGAGACATGCGCTTGACGTTCACGGAGTGCCTCACTGATACCCTCCGCATTTGCCTCCGCCGGTGCAACGGAGAGTATTATCACGCTTGAATACACGGATGGAGACGGAGAGTGGGCACTGCTAGGACATTGTAAAAGAGTTGGACTGGGCGTATGCCCTGACAGCACCAGGCGTTCTTGCCACTAAACTAGGTACAATGATCCCCAAGGGTCCATGACGACCTGTCTCAACTTTCAACCATCCTTGACAACGAGTGGCGTGCCAGGATCTTCTTCTCGATAGGCTTTCCAGCAGGTTGTTGCCCGACCAGCGACACAAGCCACTCGCTTTATGACCCTGTCAATGACGAGGCGCTCTTTGCCGTTCTTACATCGTCTACGTGTTTGCGGTGCTCGGTCGAGTTCGCGAAGCTGCCCGTGTTGATCGAAAGGGGCGTTTGTTGGAAGGACGGGATAGGGCGGAGTGGAGGCGTTGGTTCGGTGACGGCGTCATAAACTGCGTTCCAAATTACGTTGTCAGGCTCTTTGCGAAGGATGGCTTGTAGGAGAGGAAGTATTCGTTCGACATCAAAGTCATCGGCATTGATTGCGGTCATAAGTCTTGACAGGTTTTCGAGCAGATTCTTCCCGCCGCGGCTCGAAGGTAGGTGGGTCGGCAGTGGTACTGGTTCTGTTCACCCAAGAGCGCTTGTTCTCCCAATAGTTCGTACTCTCTTTCACCATGACCTCCTCGGCACATGCAAAAACCATCCTAATTCTGTATGCTGGTCGAGCAGCTTGTCTCGCATCGCTTGGCATGCTTCGAACTTGTCGGCTTCGCCTTCGATCGCGCGCAGAGAAGCTCGGAACGCCTCGCTATTCGCGGGAGTGAACTCGGCGTGGAGAACATGGTCGCTGCAAGCAGATTAGCACCGGAAGACATGTTTACGGCGGCTTCTACTTTTGAATTGCGGGCGCTAGATTGCGCAGCATGTAGGAGACTGGCGGCAGCGGATGCTCAACGTATAGATGCAATGATAGGACGGGGAGAATCTCGCTCGTATGCAGACCTGACAAGCTTGACGAAAAGTGGCCAATGGATAAAATGGCAATCGCCGTTGGCGTCGCATAATCCTGCTGAAGCCTACCTAATCTGGCATGCAACCCACACTGAATGGGAGACAACTACCGATGATAGCTTGTTTTGCATCTCCGCTGGCGTCGCTGCACAGTCGTGGTCGAGCATCCCTGAAAACGAACAGAGAACATTACGCAATGCGTCCAATGCGCACACAGCTTGTCCTACGCTCGCCACATGGCAAAAGCACAGGCCATAGGATCGATCGTTCCGCCAGACTGGAAGACACACCCGCGCAGATCTGCTTTCATCATCATCTTGCATCAAAACACCATCGGCCAACTATCACAACTTTAATGATCGGGCACCATCGGCGGCCCTCTTTCACCGCAATCTTCAGCCCGATGCTAAAGTCGCGAATTGAGGATGCCTAAGTCGAAATCTTTAGAGTACAGATAGAGGTTATAGAGGATAGCAATACTTCTAAATGATACTATACAATTATGCGCAGTATGGATATCTGTTGTGGTATTGCGTTTTGAGAGTTCGCCGTCGACGCGACGGTGAGCGTGGCCGGTTCCCTTGTGAAAAACGCTATACTTAGGAGAATATCCTAACCGTCCATTGATGTGGCGTTGTCCATGGCTGGTTTGTCTTGGCTAGTGAAGCGCCTGGATGGTGTTACAGAAACTTGCATGTTCACTTCGAAAGATCTATATTCGCCTTCACTGTAGCTCATTAGATACTAAAGTGTGACTGACTCTTCATTTTTAGGCAATTGCAAGGTTCTGGAATCCTCCTATCACATCATACGACATCTCGAAAACTACATTCGTGCCTGCTGGACGATAGCATTACTTGCAATGTATGGTACTGTGACATCGACCTTTGGCCACCTTAATCCAACTCTTCGTGATCCTGGAAGGGCCAATGTTCGTCTAACTCCTTCCGCTCGTCCTCCGTCTCCGCAGCTTCCAGCATTTGCTGTTTGATATATCGTTCTTTCTCCCTCGCCTCTTCGTAGGATTCCGTCGGCACCCATCCGTCAATGTTGACTCCAATGAAGTCGCGCAATTGCTGCATTTGTGCATCCGCAATCTTCTGCTTTGCGTCGATATTGAGGCAGTTTGTGACATCTGCGTCAGGATATTTGACGGGAAAGTTAGCTTCTTTCATTGCTGAAGTAGCAATATCGGGCCAGTAAGTCGATGTTTGTACTAGTTCCGCTTTGAGTGATGTGTTGTCGCCTTCCCACGGTCTGCCAGCAGTGTCATAGAGTCGGTTTCGTACAATGAGGTCATGTTTTCCCATTGCATGAAAATGGGGCTTGTTGTTAGTACTGGTAAATCCCAGGTAGAAATAGTGGAGCTGTCGTCGGCGATAGAGCTCCAACTCATTTGCCTTCTCGCTCTCCTCCAAGAAGTCGAAATTCGTAGGCAGCTCTGGACGTCGGAAATTCTCCGAGTCGTCATCTCCATAGTTTTGAAAATGCTTGGGAATCTTGGCTTGCAGGAACATCGGAAGTATGGTGCTGTGTTGCCAGTCGATCACTCCAGTAATATCGCCAGATTCAGAGACGAAGATGTTGTTAGGTGAGAGATCTGGGTGACGGATCGTTGGTTGACATAACTCCGGATTTTCGGGAATAATGTGTGGAGCAACCTTGAGGTAATCCCTTAAGCTGTCTACTTGCACCTGCGGGTCGACTTCTTGATGACCGTAGAATTCTCTATAGAGCGGTTCACGGGGGAAACGTTCCTTGCCGAACTTTTGCAACCAGGCCAATTCTCTATGACCAACTGCCTCCAACAGCTCCTTGGGCGTTTCCCCTACATCCTTCCAGTTAATCAAGGGCGAACAGAATACGGAGTAAGGGTTTCTTACAAGGTCCTCGATTGACGGCCAGTTCGTCTCGCCTTTGATACCACCAAAGGAATTCAGTGGAAGGCCCAATGCAAAACCTATCCGTTTTGCCACGATTGACAGCCAAGGGCAGGTCAATTGTAGTGGTTCGGGTACCCACAGAGTCTTTAAAGTATATGCTGCCACTGGCAGGAAATCGTATCGCAAATAGCATCCTCTCTATGTCGACAATCTTCTCCACGACAGCCATTCTCTCTTTTGCCGTCATCGTATACCAAGTATGTTCCAATTCCTTACCCTGAACCTTTTCCATGATGATATATTCAGACCGGACTAGATTGTCCGTCGATGAACTCCAGTCGAAGACCTTCGGGATTGGAACACCATGCAGACGTAGATATTCCATTGTAGCGACCTCGCTGACAATACCATATTCTCGAGGTACTGTGGAAGGGTATGGAAGTCGCACAATCACATTCATCCTATCTTGAAATGTCGCTTCAAAGACACGGTATGAACCACCTTCAGCAATTTTTGCGAAGGTAGTGATGTCATCAGTGGAACGACCGACAGACTTGGCAACAGCCTGACAGAGCTCATGGATGTCAAAATGACGTCGCCTTTCAGAGAGACGCAAACGCTCGTTGTACCTGCGGTGGTTTCGACCTGTCAATTCAAGTACGGAAATGTCAAGGTTCATTAGCTACTTACAACCATCTACCAGATGTGTAATTATAGAACGTATGTTCTGGATCGCTGATACTCGATGACACCTTGCCGGCTTGTAGTGTTTCTCTCGTCGAATACAGTGCCATTTGCCGAGCGGTGGATAGTTCCTGCCGTAGGCCAAAGCAGGCGTGTGAAAGAGAGCGAGGCTTCAGGATATCGAAACAAAATCTCCTCATGCTAGGGGTGGTTGGTCTTCTATCCGGGATTTGGGTCCTGACAGATGACGACGAAATGTGAGGTGATGTGTTCTTCTCGGCCCCGAAACTGGAGAGTCGCCAAGACTAGTGCACGGGCGCGGCCCGACAGCCAATCAGCAGACGACTGCACGCGCCAAAAAATCAAACCCTTGACACGCTCATCACCCGGACTATGAAGCGCCGGTTTGGATCCAAATCCGCAGAATTTCGCTGAAATCGTAGCTTTGTTGGTGCGCAAGCACAGACTACAGTTTCAACAGCGAAGCATGTCATTACCTCGATTCTCCGCGCGCTGCTTGCGATCCACCGCAACATCTCCCAGCCGCCTCGGAAACGCGCGCGTGTTTCTGTACAGCCTTGATCACTGGTCGGACACATCCAACAAGTACTGCGCCTCATCCTGGAGTTTCAACTTTTTTAATGGAAAGATAGACGATTGGATAGCTGCCCAGGTGGTGATTAGTATAGACGCTGATCGCTCTGGCGTCACGCGAGGCGCCTAGGCTACCTAGGTAGCAAATCATCAAGGGGGCCGTTGGAATATGCTACTGAATTTACCAGTCTCGAACCTTCAGTGCGATTGAATGTGTATAAATAGCTGCCAATTCCCTTCCATACATCTGAATACCCTTTATCCTATCCTTCAATCGCTACTCGATCACATCCCTTATCCTGTTTTATCCTTTCACTCGCTACTCGGACAACGCTCTTAACTTCAATGTAAGCATCCATGGCTGCGTCATGTTGTCCCACAATATCTGACATATCATGGGAAAACAGTCACTTCCGAGACAAGCTATAGCCATGAACAAAGTGTTCAGCAAAGCCGATGGTATGCTCGCGGAAGCAGCGAAAAAGTTCACCAGCGTTTCGGTGAACCGTGGCAAGACCGCCTTTCCAAAGGCACCAAAAGATCTCGAGAATTTAGGTATCCGTTGGGATTTTGATGGGGAGGTGACCCAGGGTGAACAAGTCTACAACAAGTTCCAGATTCAGCCAAATGCTGGAAAGGTCCCATCATCAATCAAAGATTGGCGCGAAAAGAATGGCGGAACGCATGCTGTGATGGGCACCATGTATGTGAAGAAAGGTGGCAGCAAAGGCGATGTGCAGGAAGCCTTCGAAAAATTCAAGAAAGAGTTCAAGGATTAGTGCTCTCCACTATGGTACGATCCCCGACAATGATTGAATTCAGCTAATAACCACGAGGGCAGATCAACACTTTCGTAGATTCCGACCGGGCATATATCAATTGCTGGAAGCGTAGGGTACCAGGAAGCATGTAAGATTGAGATCATCGAATTTAGGCTATCTTCAAACCATGTCGTCACATAAGCTCTGAGCCGGATTCGGTTGTCCGTAATATACCAATAGTCATTGTTACTGTTCACAGATCCTTGGTGTCCAGCTTCAAGGTGTGAGGTATCTGAAGTCTGGATTGGTATTTCGAGGTCACGATGCACAGTTGTTGGCGTGCTGACATGCGAGCATGACGAACAAGTCCGCTTCCTCTTGCATATCGATTTTTTGAGCACCTAGGCAGCTTCTACAAGATAATGACCACATCGAGGTACCCCATGTAACGGGCTGAATCCTAGGTCACATCACTAGGCTGTTAGCCTGGTCGCTTCTCTAGCAACACGTGGGTCGCGCGCTAACCTAAACAAAGCAGACGCCCTAACGCTCGAGAAGTAACATGCCCTATTACGTTAGACGCTATAGTGAATATGTGCTCCAGGCACTACTAATACTAGAGTAAGTAAGTAATAATATAGATTATAGTAATACTACTTTCTCTATATCTTCTTATTATATAGATCTTAAACCTACTTAATATCTATAGCTAAGAACTATACTTAAAATATTAACGTAGACGTTAAAGTTATAACATTTCTAGAACTTACTAATAATCTTCTTATTATAAGCTATTCTCTTAGCTAAGACTAAGACTTACTTATATAAGAAAAGGTAAAGAGTATACTTTAGGCTAGAATCTTTAGTAATAAAGAGGTAAATATAATAATACTATAAATTATAAGTTATAGTAGTAATTTAATAGATAAAATAATAACTATAAGAAGTTATAAAGAGTAAGCTTCTTCTAGTTATATATATATACTATCTTAGCTAGATTAGGTATCTAGACCTAGCTCTTGCAAATCTCTTAAATCTAGGTCTAATTTATAGATTAGACTCTAATCTTTTTAATTCTTCTAATCTATATTACGTAACTCTAATAACTTTTATAATTCTATACGTAATCTCTTATTCTATAACTTTAGACTTAGCCTACTATTTTCTCTATTCTAGCTAGCTAACTCTATTATTAATCTATAATTATAATACCTCTCTCTTCTTCTAAAGTATTATTCTAAAGCTCTATCTTATTTCTAGGTATAGTATTTTATTATTCTATACTATTTCTATATAAGAGTAGTACTATCTATAGTTCTATAGTATTATATTCTCTCTTCTTTTTCTATTCTTACTATACTACCTACTTATACTAAGTCTTTAATAGTTTACTACTACTACTATACTAACCTTATTCTACGCATAGACGTAGATATATCTAATAACCTCTATAGTATATATTATTTCTATAACCTATATTATATTATTAAGGTATTCTCTAGCTATTATTCTAAGTATCTAGTAAAGAACTAGCCTTATAATAAGGTGCTAGATTAGAAAGAGATAGAGAAGCTAAATTAGCTAGTAGCTAATTTACATTCTTAGTAGTCTAAGGCTAGTCTTAAGGCGAAGCGCCTTACTAAGATTTAGTAGGTAGAGTTAGTTCGTCTTTATATAGAGCTAGATCGCCTATACTCTTAGAAGGCGTCTCTAGGCAAATTCTAGTAGTCTGTAAATACGCGTAGTAAGCGCTTACAAAAGTAGCTAGAGCTAGTATAGCGTTATTATAACACACTACTTTTAAAGAACCTAGCTAATATTAAGAAGTTAAACTAGTTAGAGTATAAGATATAGTAATCTCTACTACTATAACCTTCTATTTCTCTAGTTAATCTCTTCTAGTTGTTTAACTAGAGTTACCTAGAAATTTCTAGTTTCTAGTTCTCTAGCGTTAGTAGTAGTACTACTAATAAAACTTCTTAAGTTTTTTAGAGTAGTTTCTAAGGTTTCTTAGAGGTTTCTAAGTGTCTTCTTCTAGTAGATATTCTTTCTATCTTACTTAGTATTTCTATTAACCTTATATATACTTCTTATCTAGTATTTTTTTTAATCTTAAAGTTCTAGTCTAGTTCTATCTTAGTTTATTTATTAAGTAGCGCGTTATTAGGCGCTAGCTTAAGTTTAAATTTATAGAATATAGAGTGTATTTATATTATTAGTAGTAGCTTTAGCTTAAAGTTAATAGGCCTAAGTTACTTATTAATTTTAAATAGCCTAACCTATAGATAGTTAAGTTTCTTACTAGGTTGTTTAGTATATAAGTTTTTTTTATAGAATAAAAACTTTACTTCTTTTCTTAAAGGTTAGTTTCTTAATTCTTTTCTTATTTACTTATTAAGTTATTCTTTCTACTATTTTCTATAGTTTATTATAGATTATTCTTATCTAGCGTTTCTTTTCTTCTATCTTTAGAAAGATTATAGTAGTATACGCTAAGAATTTATATATTCTAGTCTTATAGCTATAGTATATCTAATAGAGAGTTATTTCTATAGTTTCTTACTTTACTATATTATATACTAGTTATGCTATAGATAGTAGTTTAACCTAATTATTTTATTTCTAATTAACGTAGTTTCTTAGGTATTCTTCTAGAGTCTAATTTATTTATTCTATCTAGCTATTAGTTTATAGGTAGAAGCTAGTTAATATTTAGTTACTTATTTCTATTTAGCTAAGTAGTACGTTCTAGAACTTAGATATAAATAGCTTATTTCTATCTATTATAACTTGTTCTAGTATTTCGTATTAGCTAAATAGTTACTAGCTTATCTTATAAGCTAGTTCTTTAGCTTTAAGAGTTTTATTAGTTAGGTAAAAGTATACGTATTTAGTAAACTAATTTATAATTACTAGAATAGTATTAAACTTTCTTTAGAATACTAGTTTAACTAATTAGAGTAGTTTAGTAATAAAGTCTATAGTAACATGCTACTATAGCGTTATAAGTAGTTCTAGAGGTTATAGTAGCCTATAGAGTTAGTATCTAGTTACCTTATTTTACTAGTATTCTATATACTCTTATACTATCTTTATAACTTTTTTCTTTATTATAAAGAATCTATATTCTTAACGTAACCTCTTAAAAGTACGTTTAATTCTCTAGTACTTATATATTATAGTACTATAGAATTTCTAGATAAATTCTATTTATAGTATTTATAGTATCTTCTATTATCTCTATATATTTAGGTAGTTCTAGCTTATTATTCTACTAGTTCTAGATTTCTATAATTTAGCTAATTTATAGCCTATTATACTCTAGAGTTCTATCTAGTTCTATATAGAGTATAGCTTTATATTTCTTTTTTATAGCGTCTATATAGTTAGCTCTATAGCTAAGTATATTTACTACTCTATTTTTAGTATCTTTCTAGTATTAGATTATAAAGTTTAGCGTAGCTAGTATTTCTACCTATCTAACTTATTATTAGTTTAGTATTTTTATTATTATAAACGCTATAAGGTTTTTATAATCTAATACTACGTTAATAGAGTACTTAGTACCTTCTAAGTATATTCTCTATTCTTTTATTACTACTATAATAGCTATAAGTTTCTTATTATATACGTTATAGTTAAGTTCTAGTACTAAGAACTTTTTTAAATAGAAGAAGTATAGCTAATACTTACTATCTTCTCTAGATTAGCTAAGATATACTCTTAGAGCTTAGTTTAATACGTTTATTTTAACTTATATTAGTTTATTTTTATTAAATATTTATAGTAGTAGTACTATAGTAAACGTTTATTTTAGTATCTTAAACGCTTATTATTATAGGTCTTTCTACTTAAACTCTTAGTTCTTCTTAGTAACTTCTATAAGAGGTGTAGTAATCTATAAATACTCTTAGATTAACTTTTAGTAGTAGTTTATAAATTCTAGAAAGAATTATACTTCTTTTACTATTTAGAGTATAGGCTAGTCTAGAACTATCTAGATCTTATCTATCTCTATCTAGATTCTCTCTTAAGTTAGATAGAATTCTAAGTAACTAGTCTCTATATAGTAGAATTCGCTCTTATTAGAAGCTATTAGAAGTCTATACTCTCTAAACTACTATAGTATTCTTTATATATAGTTCTTATATTCTTCTAATATTCTCTTTAAATATATAAGTATATTATCTAGATAGACTATTATAAACCTTTCTATATACTTATATAGAGCTATATTAATTATACTTTAGAATATTACTAGTATATTAGTAAGTCTAAATAGTATAACTAGGTATTTATATAGGTCTTCTTTTATTCTAAAGACTATTTTCTATTTATACTCTTTTTTTATTTATATTTAGTAGTATTCTTTTTATATATTAAACTTTATAAACTACTATACTTCTATAAGCTAGTTTATAAGTTCTAAGATTATAGATAGTAGATAGTAATTCTTTTAGATTACCTAGTTAAGCTATTAATAGTTAATATATAGTTTTAACTATTTATTTTTCTTTAGTATAAATAGTACTAGTAAGGCTATTAGGCTTTAGCTTTTTTAGATATATTCTTTATATAAGAGTCTCTCTAGATACCTTTAGAGTTTCTCTCTTTACTTACAGCTAAGTAGATATATTAGTTCTAGCTTTAGCGTAACTTTCTCTTCTATAGGTATCTTATAGTTCTATAGTTTATATTTAGGTAAAACGCTATTATTCTATCTATTAAATAATAACGCGAACTTCTTATAGTTATTTTTAACCTTCTAAGATAGTTACTCTATATTAGATAGTAGCTTTTATATTCTTATAACGCTAACGTCTTAAGGTTATTTTCTTACTTATTTTATTAAACTTATAAAGAATATTCTTCTAATCTTTACCTCTAGCTTTTAGTAAGCTCTTAGATAGTATCTTACTCTAGCCTTCTATGCTACTTTAGACCTTTTCTAGAGTTCTAACCTAATCTAATTAATATTAGAGTTATATCTTTATAGCTAATCTAGCTCTAGAAGTATATCTATATTCTCTAGTTCTATAATATTATAGAATTACTTTTTCTATATTTCTTAGATATCTAATATCTATACCTTAGTCTTTAAGTAAATCTATTCTTAGCTAAAGGTAGATAGCTAGT